GCTCGCCTTGTTGCTAAAGGATATGTGCAACAATATGGGATTGATTTTGAGGAAGTATTTGCTCCAGTGGCACGAATTGAAACCATAAGGCTACTTGTAAATCTCGCAGCAGCAAACGGTTGGGAGATACATCACTTGGATGTGAAAACAGCATTCCTCCACGGAGAGCTTAAAGAAACTGTCTATGTCTCACAACCTGATGGATTCGAGAAGCAGGGGAGCGAAGAGAAGGTTTACAGACTCAACAAGGCATTGTATGGATTGAGACAAGCTCCAAGGGCTTGGAATAATAAGCTGAATCAAATTCTTGAAGAACTTCAGTTCAAAAATGTTCAAAGGAGCCTACGGTCTATCGAAAAACAGAGAAAGAACACTCTCTTATCATCGCCGTTTATGTGGATGATCTCTTTGTCACAGGCACAGATAAGTCTATCATTTACAAATTTAAGAGGGAGATGGCTACTAAATTTGAAATGAGTGATCTTGGGAAGTTAACTTATTATCTTGGGATAGAAGTGACTCAATATGAAGGTAGAATTGTGCTAAGTCAGAGGAGGTATGCTCAAAGGATTCTAGAAGAAACAGGAATGTTAGACTGCAACCCGGTTCATATACCTATGGAAGTCGGACTTCAATTGTCAAAAGCTGAAAACGAGAAAGAGATTGATGCTACGGATTTTAGGAAGAAAGTAGGTTGTCTGCGATATCTAATTCACACAAGGCCTGATTTGTCATACTGTGTAGGTGTTTTGAGCAGGTATATGCATAGTCCTAGAGAATCACATGGAGCTGCAATGAGACAATGTCTGAGATATTTAAAAGGGACAACATCGCTTGGACTAGTTTTTGAGAAACAAGTAAAAGTACCGCGACTCTTTGGATATAGTGATAGCAGTTTGAGTATAGATCCTGACGATGGAAGGAGCACAACTGGCCATATTTTCTACTTAGGAGACGGCCCTATCTCTTGGTGTTCACAGAAACAAGACGTAGTGGCTCTATCCTCGTGTGAAGCAGAGTTTATGGCCGGGACTGAAGCGGCTAAACAAGCCATTTGGTTGCGGGATATACTTAGTGAGATTACGGGAACTGAAGCCAAGAAAGCTATCATCCGTATTGATAACAAGTCAGCAATTTCACTTACAAAGAATCCTGTCTTCCATGGGAGAAGCAAACACATAAAAAGAAGATTCCATTTCATCAGAGAGTGTGTCGAGAATGAAGAGATTGAAGTGGAGCACGTTCCTGGTGTTGAGCAGAAGGCTGATATCCTTACGAAGCCATTAGGGAAGATGAGATTCAAGGAAATGAGAGAGCTCATGGGAGTGCAAGATTTGGTGAAGAAGAGCTTCAAGCTTAAGGAGGAGATTGTTGGATTAAGCTTGACGAAATAACTTGTGCGACAAGTTAGGAGAAGATAATATTAAATCTCTAGGTCTTATCTTGAAATATTGTTTAGGAGTTATCTAAACAATTCATAGTTTGATTAGGATAAGTCTTATAAACCTCTATATAAGAGTTACCTATGCGTGTGGTATACCTTAGAGTTGAGAGAGAGTTTTGTGAGAGATTTGAGATTGAGAGACATTGTGTGCTTTAGTTTTTGAGTTAGTTTTCTAAAGCTTAATAAGAGAGTAATTCTTAAACTTTGTCTTCTTAATCTTTCTCTTTCGATTCTAGATATTACCTGTAGAAGTCAATAAGAATATAATCAAGAAAATGCTGAAGCGTACTACCATTAAACTTTTAGACATTTTGTTTTGCCTTTGTTAAAGTTTTTCTTTTTCTTTGTTAATTGAATGTTTTATGAATCTAATTGTCAAATTGCTATATATCAAGAATTATTATTTCTAAAAAAAGAAGAAGAAATGAGAGATAATCCGGAAAAAATGCCTATGAAATTGTTAAATTAAAAGAAACATTCATTATTAATTAATATCATAATTCTCCGTTTTCATAACTTTGATAGTTCTTTTTATTAAAATATGTTATTTATAGGTAATAATTAACTACATGGTAATATGCATTATGCGCTCGATGAATAAACTGCGATGAAGTACTGGAATATGAGAGGTATTATTAAGTAAACTAGGGTTGAGTTCAAGAACGGTTCTTAAATAAACTCTCACCTGTTGTATGATTTAGTGAAAAGATTCACCCTAAGTCTAGCTTCTCCATCAACTAAACTTACAACCGATTACTTTCTTTGCAATCTTTAATATTCTTATATATTTGTTTAGCTTAATTCCATTACCATAAATTTATTGCGTGAACTAGAGAGTTTTGTAGAATTTGTCCCTAAAGTGCTATAACGATCTCTTATTTGAGAGAGTGTTCTTTAGGCAATTTATACCATATCACTCATCGATGTCGGGCTTGCGTTATTTGGTTAGAGTTTTCAGTTATTTGGTTTATTCTTAGTTTATGCCGGATGAACTAAGTGGTACTAAACCACTCTCCTACAGTCATCATATATCAAACTTAATAATAAGTTAAAACTTCTTCACTGTAATTTTTTAAAAATCCTGATAATTTTGTGCATACAAAATTTATGTGGTTTATCTAGGTTTAAGACCATCCTTTTATGGTGGCTAATTTATTATAAAGGCCAAGTTAACTTTGATGTAAGAAGGAACAAGAACTCAAGAAGCCTCGTAGTAATAAATCACTGTGTGAGTCAATCACATTACAAGAAAACATGTCATTTCATACCGAAATTGATTCGTCGGTTCTATTTCGTTAGAAATGCGTAAGGAAAATTTTGAAGGAAATACAACATCGAATATTTTGACGGATTTAAGAGGATTCTCTTGATCGGAAAATGCGACGGAATATTGTCAAAAAACAACAATCGGAAAACCAATTTGGAAAATCTTTTCAACAGATTTCCAAGAGGTCCGATTGAGTTATTCTGTGGGTCTATCGATATTGTTCTAATAGTTTTGGACCAAAAACCGACTGTTAATATTACATCGGTTTTCCGAAAACCTAGAGAAATGAAGAAGATGAAGGAGATTATGATGTTGGTAATCGATGATACAAATGAGAAACAATGGCCATAGCTTTATACACAATGTCTCAACATGCGGAAAATTGAGAGGAGAATACGACACTTATGAGAATGAATTCTCAATTTGAAAGTCAAAAGAATTACTCCACCTTAATTGTTGTTAACTAATTTTTATTTTGTTAAGAACTCAATACTAATAGAGATATTAGTTGATTTAATTAAAATTAAATCAAGATAATTAGGCCAATACCGCACAACGTGCGAGTTTTTTCATCACTAATTTGTTAGTGATAACAATTTACATCGATTGAATTAATTTGACAAAATAATCTTTTTGGTGTTTTTTTTATAATAATCATTTTGATGTATTTCTCCAACTCTCGAGTAGATAATTCATTCCATTTTTTAAAATTATTTTTAATTACATTGTTTAACACTTAATTTCAATTACTTACCTTAATATATTTTGTTATCTTTAAAATATTTTTAAATCAATATAATAATAACACCTTGTTTCTCTCCTGAATTGACACATCAGATTTTTCAGATGTTCTCAGCTTGACACATCAGTAAAAACATTTCTCCAATCAAATTATAACAATTAATACAGCTCATCATTTTCGTCCATTAGAAATCCTACCATGTTCCGCTTCATTTACTGATACCATGGGCTTTTTAAATTTATATATGTCCATCTTGATGGGCTTTTTAATTTATACATGCCCATCTTGATATTTTTTTAATTCTTGGGCTTTAAAAATCTTAGGCTTATAATCATCGACACAATCCCAGACGTGCTCTCGTCGACACCCTCACTTTTTTCTTATTTCAGTTCCTCAGAAATTAACGAAGACGAAGAATTAATGATGCACACTATGTGTTCGATAGAATGTCCCTGTGAATTAAAGAATTCGCCCCATTCTTAGAAGATCATGTGAATGAAAGAATTGTCAATATGTGTTTGATGTATTGAAGATTATTGATATTGTGATTACTAAATTTTGCAGAATTAGTAAAAAAAACAGAAGCTTTGAGCCGAACTGGATTCATGACTTAAGCTGATTTTGACGAAGTAAGTATGAAAGCGTTATAACGATTAATACAGCTCAGCACTCTATTCTAGTAAAAATCCTTCTCCCTTACACGTCACTTTCTCTCCCAAGCATTTTACCTCCTTTTCTAAAAATCCCCGCCTAGCCCGATTACTCCCCGTTTAATCGCTAGGCCCATCCTCTCCGCCTCGATTAATGACTAATCCTTTAAAAAAATCAGTCATCTGATTACTCTCCGCCTAATCCGATTAATTCCCGCCTAATCCGATAATTTTCTGCGTATTCTTACATATCCCGATTATTTTTTTATTCCAAGTATAAAACAACTCTTTTTTTGTTATTTAAACATTTGAATTGGAAATTTGTGATGTTTTACAATAATTTATGTTCAAATTTTTAATAAAAGTCACAATTTTTAATAAAAAAATCATAAAAATTTACCTTAAAATATATTTTTATGTGTTTACTACAATTTTGAAAACAATAGTAGATTAATATATTTTTAAAATATTAAAATAACCCTAAAACTAATCTCCGATTAATTCCCGATTTTAATCCGATTTTTCGATTAATCGCTAGGCTCATACCGAACGCCCGACTAGCGCCTAACGATTTTTCAAACAAGGATTTTACCCTTAATTTCTCAACTGCTCAGATTCTTTAATTAGGAGAAACAAGGGCCAAAAAAGCTTTATTGTCTAGCTGTAAACAGAAACAGAGCATCACATCACTTTCACTTTCTTACATCAATATTTGAAAACTGAGTCTATAGACTATGAACTTGGGGGATCAATTTTAGATCCTTCTGTTGATAAGATAACTCATTTTTCCCTATGACACATTAATGTTACAGACCATTGAAAATTGCAGAACCAATTAAAAAAAAAAAAAGAAACTTGAAGAGTTTTGCGTATCCTGTTTTTGTGGAGCAGACAATATTCTTTTCTTTAACTATACGTTTCCTGTTAATGTCTCTCTTAGGTGCCTAAACTTTGTTTATCTTTTTATTCCAGTATAGAATTAATTGATTTATGATAACTAATAAATAAAAAAGTAGACATAAATTGTTACATCACATAATGCTCATTGGCTGTATTGATAAATTAGATTCTAGAATCCTCATGGGAAGTGTGTTCTAATGTGTAATATATCTATCTTACATGGTCTTACGGTCTGCATATTGTTTGTGGATGTGGGGCTAATTTCAATTGAGGGATGAGGTGAACCGTAGTCACTAAGCTTTCTTAGCCAGACTTATGCATCATTTTGGTATTTAGAGAAAAAGAATCATCTTTCATTTGTTAGTTCCTGATCACAAATAAAATCAATAGAGGAGAAATGGGTCAAAATATTCAAGTTCTAACCATAGAGGGGTGTGTTAGCAAGAAGAAGGCAGCTTAGAAGAAAGCTGTTGCCGCCTCTAAAAGACGTAGTAAAGCTGCTGCCACATCTAAATCCGCCGCCGCTACTTCTTCCAATGGAGTTGATAGCCTTTTATCTTGATTATTGATTCCATGACTCAGTGATATATATATTAAGTTTTATTGTTTATACTCTGAATCCCCTGTTTTTCTTATGTAAAAGATTTTGATGGAATTTGTTTAAGTCTGTTTGCAGATAGAATCGTTGTCTGTGACGTTTCATGGTAATGACCTTATTGTCGATTTGATGTTGGAGCTTAACTATGGAAGGCGTTATGGTATGCTGGGTTAAATGGTTGTGGAAAGTCCACTCTTTTAACTGCAATCGGACGCAGGGAGATATCGATTCCGCACATGGATATCTATCTTCTTTATCATGAGATTGAAGCTATTGACATGTTTTCCCTTGAGGATGTTGTTAGGTGTGATGAGGACGGGTTGAGTTTGGAGAAGGAATTTGAACTTCTTGTCGAGCAGGTCTGTATAAATCAACAATAGACTTAGATTGTTAATTGAACTTTGTTTTCATCTTGGATTCTAATTATGGTGTTTTTTTCCTTGGATGATGGAGGCGGAGAGCATCTTGATTCTAAGGGCAAGATATGCAAAAAAAAAAAATTAGAAACTACCATTTAAGACCATCTCCAATGTATTTCTCTATTTTTAGCTTTATCTCTATAATAGAGATGAGTTTTCTCTATTTTAGTCGGCTATTTCATACCCAACCTATACAGTAGTGTTCAATTCATACATGAAATTTTACTATGTGCCAATACATACCCAATCTTTTAAAATTTTCAAATTTTATACCCAAACTTATCAAATTGTGCGAAATCACACAACTTTTGTCTTTATTGCTGACGTGGCATCCACGTCGTTGATGACGTTGATGATGTGGTTGCCACGTCTTTCATGACGTTATTGCCACGTCATCACCATTTTAAACAAAAATAAAAATTAATTTTTTTTCTCTTCTCATGTTTTTTGTCCATCACTATCATCCAACGGAATTGTGAAAAAAATTATATATCTAATGTAAGAATTTAAATCTTCTTTTCAAGACTTATAACTAATATTTTAACCGAAACTAATATTTAAACCGAGTTTCTAAACTCAAAATTCGCAATTCTTTTTCTAAAAAGGGAATTTTGCCAAATGTACCACATTTTGGAAAAATCCTAGCAAATGTACCACATTTGAAATGGATTTAGCATCCATACCACATTTGGTGTTTGTGTCGCAACTCTTGGACGATTTTGCCCTTCTCTGTGCGTCAGGTATGTGTCAGGGGAAGGAGCTACAGTAGACGCCGGCTGGGAAACGGGGACAACTTTGTGTCAGAGAAGGACAACTTTGTGTCAGAGAAGGACAACTTTGTCTGAAAGACAACTTTGTGTCAGAGAAGAAGGACAAAACATTGCATTAAATGCAGTTTACATTTACCATGGACAATAATTATGAAATAGAGTGAATGATGTCCCCCAAGAATAAGTCCAGATCTCTTGATTGTCCATCGCCAGATGTTGTGGTTTTACCAGCCAGAGATCTGGATTTACTCGGGGACAACTTCTCTTGATTGTCCATCGCCAGATGATATGGTTTTACCAGCCGGAGATCTGAATTTACTTGGAGACAACTTGATCTTTATTTTATTCCGCCAAAAAGCTGAAGACGAAGATCTGTATTTACTCGGGGACAACTTTGTTTTACCAGAGGGACGAAAACGGTTACCAATGCGTTAGGAGAGAGACTGTGGACGACAGAAAATTCGGAGAGTCCCATCAACCGCAGGGTCTTGTCTCAGTAAGTTGGAGGGTAGAATCGTCTTTTCACATGATGAATGTGGTATGGATGCTAAGTGGGCTCAGAAAGTGGTACTGGGCCTAAACTTTTTGAAAAAAGTGGTATTGGGGCTAATTTTATATATTAACTCTTCAAATTGCTTTCAATGAAAAATATAAACCCTACAATAATCTTTGAAGAAATTTTTTACATTTATTGTCATTTGATAATTGTCTTTTAGGAACAAAATATTTTTTTATATAAATTAATTATCATTGTCAATTAGGGTTGTTTGAATATATATATATATAAGCTAAGATACAATGACAATATTACCATTTACCAGTAATGAGAAATTGTATTTTGTTCTTAAAATACAATTTATTCTAATAGTAATATATGTAATTAAGTTCTCTTTTTTTGTTATCAACTTAAAGATGTCTTTTGATTAATATAGAAGATATATCGTAAGGGTTTATGTTTACTACTAAAAGTGATTTGAAGATTTTTAGAAGAATTGTAAATTTGGAGTTTATAAACTCGGTTTAAATATTAGTTTTGGTTGAAATATTAGTTATCAGTCTCGAAAAGAAGATTTTAAATTCTTACATCAAATATATAATTTTTTTCACAGTTCCGTTGGATGATAGTGATGGAAAAAAATGAGAAGAGAAAAAAAACATTTATTTTTATTTTTGTTTAAAATGATGATGATGTGGCAACGACGTCATGAAGGATGTGGCAACCACGTCATCAACGTCCTCAACGACGTTTCATCCACGTCAGCAACAAAGACAAGAGATGTGTGATTTCGCACAATTTGATAAGTTTGGGTATGAAATTTGAAAATGTTAAAAGATTGGGTATGTATTGGCACATAGTAAACTTTCATGTATGAATTGAACACTACTGTATAGATTGGGTATGAAATGGCCGACTTTCCTCCAATGTGTTCTTCTATTTTTTCCTCTAAAAAATTTAATTCTATTTATAGAATAAAAAATAGAGATTTTCTATATGATCCTCTATATATAAAGGAAAAAATAGATATCTCTCTAAAATCTTTTATAGGTGAGAATAGAAGTGGGTTGTAGCAAATTTGCTTCTAAAATAGAGTTTATAGACAAATATAGAGATGGGTTGGAGATGCATCTATCAAAATAGAGTTTGGAATGTCCAAGCACAAAGGGATTGATAAGATTGATCCATTTTGAAATTAAACAAGTCATTTAACATAAAGCTATATAAGGAGGAGATTAGAAGACTAATTAAATGATAATGTAAAATAGTTGATGTTTTCTTTATTCTCGTCTCGTCTCTTCTCTTTTCCTGTAAGTTCTACTTATTTACCATTTGAATCATGCTGCTTCAACTTTCAAGTAAAGCTCTAGTCTTTGCTTCTCTTTCTCTCTCCGCGCCCTTGCAGAATCTAGTTGGCGCAGATCTTTCATGATGCAGTAGATGAAGACTAAACACCCTTCTGAGTCTTATCATGTTTCCTTTTCTGTTGCAGCTCTTCTCATTGACTTTGATTGATACCTCAAGCATCAAGACTCTTCATTCTTCATCTTCTGAAAACAGTGTTTTGAGGATCAAATTCATGTGTTAGCTTCGGTTTTGACTTCAAATAAACTCTTATAACTGGTTAGACCTCTTCTCAATGCAGACCACACAGCTGAATGCAAAACAGAACGGCTTGTTTTCACAGTCATTTAAGCAACTCCCACACTCGTGGCAACGTTCTATGCAGACTACGCAAGCTCTGCACGATGATTTAGGATAAGGATATTGACCCTTCAACGGACAGGTTTCTGCTGGACAATCAAATACAAGACTTGGTTTCTCACACCACGGGCATATCTCTAGGTCAGTAACTCGATCATCCTCTAAAGAAAACTCTGATCTACAAGACGTATAGAATCTCTTCTTCCTCGATTTTGGACCCGCTTTAGCATCTCCTCCCAGTAATAAGTTGAGCTCTTTAAATTGCTCCTTTGTGAAATATAACGCCCCACCAGTGATTAGGCTTTTGACTCCAAGACGGTTTGAGGATTTTAAGTCCCTTAGAGTTGACAGTAGTCCTGCTGTGCTTAGTCTAAGACAACCAGATACACTCAGCTGCAAAACATAAATTAAAAGACTTCTTCCGTTAGGGACACCGGTTTCCACAAGCGCCTTAAGAATCGTAAACAAAATCGAGTTTTTCAACCAGAAGAACATGTAAATACAGATCCAGTATGCAGAGACTTAACACACATGTAAGAGCAAGGATACATGAATAGAAAACTAACCTTAGTGAGATGTGGATTGATTGCAAGCACTTGCTTCAAGCCATAATCAGTGATACCAACACATCCTCCAAGATTCAAACATCGAACATCACCTTGAGCGCGGCGTGTTAACTTCAAAAGAGACTCATCAGTTACTCTATATTGAAGAAAAGAGTCATTAAGATCAATGGTTCTCCAGAAGAAAGGCTCCTTTCTAACCGAATCACGCAAAGACCTGCAAACTCCTTCAACCGCAAGAATCTCTTTCACCTCTAGATATGACAGAACTAACTCAAACGCGTCATGAGCTTCACCAGCATCATCATCATCATCATCATCATCATCATCATCAAAAACATCATCAAGATCAAACCAACTTAAGCTAAATTGTTCAGTTACTAAATCTTTGTGATTCTCATGAAACCAATCCGAGATTGTGTTCAAAGTCGATCTAACTTTCATACAAAATGGATCCTCAGGCAAAGTGATTTGGTGTTGCAACATCTGATTCTCATGAAACCAATCAGAGATTGTATTCAAAGTGGATCTAATGTTCATACAAAAAGGATCATCAGGCAAACCCACAAAATCATCCCCAAATTGACCAAAACCCAATTCTACTTTTCGGTAATCGATACCACAAGAAGCATAAGAACCTCGAAGCTCGTCGGAATTAACCTCCATTAACGAATTAAGCTGAGAAAAAAAAACTGGGCTCAAGGAAGAAACTGAAATCTGAAATAGATTAAAAAAAAAACGGCGAGAGAATGAATGAATGAATGAGAACGAAATCTAACGAATGGGATCGCGAAATCAGCGGGAAAATAAAAAATAGGAAAGAGAAAGGATTCGAGAGGAAGAAGAAGATGGAATCAGAGAGAAGAAGCAATGGTTTTGCAAAAAAGGGGACCCTTTTTTTTTAGGGCTTTTTTTCTCTGTTGCGAATTTGGCGCGTGTCTAACTATAACTTCTTATTTATTTAATAAATAATTAATGAATATTAAATGAGTTTTCCTTTTTTTTTTCTTTTTCTAAATTCTAATTAATGATTACGTCTCTAAATTAGATATATATATATATATATATATATATATATATATATATATTTTTCTTATATGTTCTAAATTAGATATTTTCATTCACTCTTTTTTAATGTACCAACTACATTGCTCTTTTTTTTTTACGTCAGATCTTTTAATTTATTATCTTTTCAAATTTGCAGGATCTTCTATTTTTTTTTTTGGTTAATTGGTTTTATTCCTTGTCGATAATACTATTGACTAACTATTGTATTAAGTAATTTGCCAATTTGTGAACAAAAATTAAGAAGTTATTCACCTATTATAGATTTTTTTTCTTTTCAAAAATAGAAATTTTGTTAAATGGCAAGATTTGATCATTTAATTAAGTAAATGACTTCTTGATTGCTGTTAGATAATGATATAAGGGTATCCTAAATATTTATGAATGTACTTTTATTTTAAAATTTGGCATTTTCGTAAATAAATATTTTATTACTTCTTTTTTTTTTGTTGTTGTTGTTGACAAAAAAACAGTAAATGAATACTTTTAAATCTGCTAAATTCAGTAGACCTCATAAATGGTACTCCTTATCTTTCATAGGGATTTTTTTGTTTTATTTTAAAAGATATTTTCATATTTCTATGTAAAAGTTAATTTATTTGACTTATACATGTTTTCTTATTGGCTGATTTAGTTTTAAGTTAGTGGTATTATTTTTGTGTAAAAGAAATAAATTAAATGAAATTTATATGATTTCATAATCTTTGTGCAAAAAATCTTAAACATTACTTCAAATGAAACAGGGAGAATAAATGTTCACTGTTATGAAAAACAAAACATGTTTCTCCTAACAACTGATCTCATAGATATAACCATCACAATGTGTTTTAATTTATGTTTTAAGTGTTACGGAAAATCTCTTATTGCGAATTTATGAAATTCAATCCTCTATTAAGCAGAATAAGATCTTTTAATTTAATTAGTTTTGCCGTTTTGCATTATAAAAAAAAAAAAAAAAAAAAACAAGAGACTAGCACAACAAAAACTAGAAGACATAAACAATGTCCTAGTGAAGATCACTAGTATACATAAGATTCACTTAACAAACTCCAAACAGGTGAAGAGTTTTTTATTCAGCAAGCAAAAAAAAAAAAAAATCCTCTTATTTTGTGTGTACTCATCATCATCATCTCTATGTTTATACCATTTACAATGTAGGAGGGATCCAAATGTAGCCATGGGTCTGCGTATAACCAGCTTTCTTAAGTAGCTGATCTGCTTCCGCTGGGCCACGGCTACCTTGTTTGTATGGGATCGATTTTACTTCTCCCTTGTCGATCCTGTGAAGCAATGGAGTGAAGATTTCCCAAGCTGCCTGTTTTATGATTGATCACCAACATAAATGTGTTTAAAGATCATCTCAATGGGAAAAATATCAAATTTGGGTCAAATCAGATTGTGGAAGTTTGAAACAAAGTTGAGTTGGGTTCTTGAAATGATGTGAGAATATCCAGGGGTTCTAAAGTGGTGAAGGAGAAAGGTAATATTACCTTCAATTCGTCTCTGCGAACAAAGTGTTGTTGGTCGCCTTTGATTCTGCAGAGAGATACATAATAAAGTCAACTAATGGGATGAATAAAGGTTTTGATATACAGAACTATTGTTACAAGATTCTTACGTGTCAAGAATAAGGCGTTCGTAAGCCTCTGGAATCGAGACATCTTGGTAACGCTGCTTGTACGACAGGTCTAGTTCACTCTGCACAGTTTGCATCTCCAGACCCGGTTGCTTCACCTGCGCAGCAAAGCCAAAAACTTCAGATTGATTGAATGAATGAACAAAAGTGAATCTCTCCTTTTCTTGTAATATCGTAAATTGTGGTTGGTTCATCAGGTACTTACAGTTAGCTTCATGTACATGGCCTCTGAAGGCTGCAAGCGTATAACAAACTCGTTCCTCCCTTGGTTTTGACCTATTGTATTGCATGAGAGGTTAGACCAACGAGATTTTACGTATCAGTACATACACTTGATATCTGAGACGGTTTGATTTGGTCTTGATACAAACATTTGAATATATCGCCAGGAACATCTTTAAACTGAATGCGAATATCTGCCTTCTTTGAACTCATTGCCTTTCCGGCCTTCAGTATAAATGGAACACCTGAGAGAAAGATAAATCAATCCACAAGTCCATAATAACCACCACAAGTAGAAAGGGATTTTTTTCATAGAGGTAACACATGAAGACAGTTCTTAATCGATGGAGAAACAATATGAATTGAGCTAATGTCTGTTCCGTTATAAGATGTTACGTCATGTTTTAGGTTCGGGGGAGTTGGTTTTAACTTTTATCATTTATGCAAGAACAGAAGAGTTCCGTGGCCTACTGTAGATATGGACAATATGAATTGAACTAAATATCTAATCTTGATTCATGTCTAATCTTTTAGATGATGTTCCAAACTTGATCAAGAAAATGAAAAGATGAAGAGTGAGGAGGACATGGTACCTTCCCATCTTTCGTTGTCTATGCGAAGAATTGTTGTGGCAAACGTTGGAGTGTTTGAGTCATTTGGAACAGTTGGATCATCTCTATATCCTTCATATTGCCCAAGAACAACCTCTTCATCTTTTATGGGAATCACAGATTGAAGAACCTAACGTTCATTTAAGAAATCAGTCAGTTGTTATTAATTGGCTGAAAATGCAAACGAAGATATATATCTCTTGATCCAATTGATATGGTAACCTCCTACAGAAGTTTGGAAATGAAGATGTGATCAGAAAAATTAAGATTGTGATTAAGAAAATTGTAATCACCTTCACTTTCTCATCCCGGATGTGCTCGGGTTTCAGAGAGATTGGTTTCTCCATGGCGACAAGGCAAAGAACCTGTAGTACACTAAACTTAGTTATATATATATATATGAAAGCATCTGCAGTTACAGGGAAGGAAACTCTAAGGAGAAATGTCATATGGAGGTGGCTTTCAAGATGTTTTTCTTCACAATAGACAAATATTTAAAATATAAACACTTGCCTGGAGCAAGTGGTTTTGAATAATATCACGAATGATTCTGAAATGGAAGATTATAGAACTCATCAGAATGCAATGACATGTCATGTACATCATATTCAAAGGAAACACTGAGAAAAGCTTACCCGTATTCATCAAAATATCCCCCACGACCTTCAGTTCCAAAATCTTCTCTGAAAACGATCTGCAAAAAGAAATTAGAGATTTATGTGTATGGACTCGACTCTAAACAAAAGTGTGGAAAATATATGTGCTAAGCGATCAAGCTCTCACCTGTACGTTTGCAATATTGTCGCGGTTCCATAGTGGCAAAAACAAACGATTGGCAAAGCGAAGAACCAACTGCACTAACGATGCATGTGTTAGATGATATTTATCTATCTAAATAAATAAACTATTGACTAAAAGCAAAGAAGTGTTACCATGTTTTGGACTAATTCTTTTCCCAGATAGTGATCAATACGATAAATCTGTGGTTCATCAAACAGCGCTCCAATCTGAGAACTCAGTTGCTCTGCAGATTCCAAATCCTTTCCAAACGGTTTCTCAACAACAATCCTAGTCCATCCACCAAGATCAGCTGGAAAGATTATACCATTCCACTGAGAGTTACTACCTAATCTTTTGTATCTAAATAATGTTGGCCAAATTAACAGTAACTTACATTTGTTAGTGCACCATGCCTTGATCATCTTGCTTACAGGAGGGTATACAGACGGCGGAAGTGCAAGATAAAACAATCTCCGAGAAGATCCTTCAGAAGTCCTTTTAGAGATCTCGTGCTCCGAAATCGCCTCATCTAATCTCTTAAACCCTTCCTCAGAATCATAAGGTCCACTCACATACTTAATCTATACCACCAGAACATATATTTTCAGTAACCAAAACAAACGGGACTACAACCGCGTAAATGAAATGGACTAACCAGCTTTAAAAACTTGGACAAAGCTTCTGCTTTGTCAGATGCATTCCTCTCATCAACAAGATATCTACACAACATGATAATATCAAATCAAATACATAAACTTTTCATCGTCTCATATACAACAAAAATCGATCATCTAACCCGCGGATTTTATCTCTAAGATCCTCATCAGAAATCTTACTCCTTGCATATCCAAATATATGAACTTCATCTGGATTAAGAAATCCCTGTGCTCATGTAAAAACCAATAAACACATCAAAAAAAAAAACATTTGACATTGAAAACAACAAAGCATACTAACAAAAAAATCTTGAGTTTAAGAACCTGATGGTAAAGATGGAAAAGTGCAGGAAAAGTCTTCTTCTTAGCAAGATCACCAGAAGCACCAAGAACAATGATAGAGAGACTTCCAGTTTCAGAGACTGGATTGTATTCTTTTACAAACGAATCATTCTTTAAAGTAGACCTCTTCTCCATATGCCACTCACCAGAAGGTCCAGAACCCATCATCCGAAAGTTTTTTAACACTCTAACCAAAATACACAACAAACCTGTAAAATTAAAGTTTAGTGAAACTGGAATCATTGTGTTACGATTTGATTGATTTAACCATGTAAACAAAACTATTTATGAAATTATAACATTTCAAGAATTCGAATCTCGTGAAGATGAAGAAGATTCTTAACTTAGGCTAACATAACTGCGAAAAAAACACAGAGTAATTGAATGGATCAGATTTCGTTTGACAAACGGATCATTAGAAGCTTTGGCTGAGTTTTACAATCGGAACAACAAAGATTACGAGAAGAGATCTCTCTAACCTGCGACGGTGGCGACAAAAATTTCACTAGTATGGAGAATTTTTGTTATGTATGATTTTGATAGCTCGAATACATTTATAGATAAATTAGAGTGGTGATGATTAAAACAAGGGACTGTAATTATAATAAATAATAACAATTAGTATAATGTTAATTAAATGGAAAGTGGTAATGATTTGAGAATTCGAGACTTGGAATGGTTGAGCATGAGCATCCCATTATCTTTAGATATGCTGCCTGAGATATTTATTTTGTTGGGAAAGAAAAGTCAACAAGAATTATTGTGACGTGTCTTGGTTTTACAATAAAAAAAAATTACGATTTTCATATTACATTTTGACCGTTAGATTTCACCACCACAAAAACAGTGTTCACTTAAAGCAGATAAGACACAAAGTGTTACATACCAATTGGATAATAAACAATACACTAATTTCACACTGTTCAATAGCAATGAATCGTCATTTTATATACCAAATTCATTCATCTAAAGATCATATAACGTAGTGATGAAAGATGGAAAAAAAAAAAAAGATCTTATAACGTAGCACAACGCATTCATTTACTTTTCTAGTTTTCTAGTTTAGCACGAGAGAGGTAAAAAAAAAACAGAGAATAAATGCTATAGTGGAAGTAACCACAAAATCCAAATGGGCCAAGATATTAAAGCCCATACCGACACAATAAGATTGCTACCGAGTCTGTGAGTGATGCTGACACATTGGAACTGTCACATTTCAAAGGCAACATGCTTGTTATAATGTGGGTAACGAAATGAAATCACATTTTAAACCACTTAGGCTTTGTGGTCTTCTTCTCTGTGGATTTAGGCTCGTGTTCAACAGGTACAGGACCAGAGTCAACCGTGGCTGGCTCTGATGACGACTCAACAAGTTCCTCCGCTTTGGTCATGACCTCTAAATCTTTCAGTGACAAAATCTCTTCATTCAGATAAGGAGTTGAACTCGCACCTTCATCTGCCAAAAACCATTAGGGTTTAAAGATAAGTTCAGAACACAGTCCTCTTCCCAACAAATTCTTGTCGAGTAGTATGTAAGGGAAATCAATATTATAATCTAACATATAATCTATCTGACACACCTTACTTAACCACCCTTCAAAGATTATTGTTCCCTATGTATTCACATGATCCTAAACTTCTTATCAAGCTATTTCATTCCTAAGTTTGAAAGCTTTCTGGAAAAATCCTCGTGTAGTTTAGTTATCCGTCCCTCAAACAGATCTCACTTACTAAATCTATAATCCCACACATATTGCAATGCAATACAAGTTCCCCAGAGAAAGAGGAAATATATGGTATTGTGTGAAGGTAATGTCACAAACTAACCTTTAGGTTGATCGTTTGCAAAGTAGACAATTGCTCCAGGGACAAACCCAGCTGAGTAGAAGTCTTGTGAGAAATCTTTTATCTGCTTCTTGGGAGGAGTTGTATCTGCAAAAAAAATAGTATGATGTCGGTTTCTTCTCTTGACAAACATAAGATCTGAAATCTGAGTACTGGAAACATACACAAGTAGAAAGGAATATCTGGGTGGGCAACTACTCTTTTGACAAGATCAAGCAAGCCTTGGATCTTTTCTGACGGATGAAATGTTGCCTCCAATGTGTGATTATCAGGAAAACGAACCCGAATTACAGCCTAGACAGTATCAATCTATAAATAGTCAGTGGGATAATTCCAAGAATGAAACAAGACCAAAAGTGTTTTAGAAAGTAATAAGAACCTTAGTCAGCTTTGATCTACGAGCAGCTTCTTCTGCTTCCCGAAGTTTTCTTGTCTTCAACGATTTATCTTTTGTATAAGTAATTCACATTACATGTTAGAAGAATTAAACAACCAAGGTACTGATTTCTTCAGAGCAAACAATACATTCCAACGACAACAAACACTTGATCAAAGATTTAGCAAATTTTCCATTGAAAATGCCAGAAGAATGTAAACTAAACCATACAGATTCTTCTAAACATCTTACCTTCTTTCTTAGTGGCTAAAAGGCGGTAATAATCTGCAGGTGTGAACTCGTAGAAATCATCAGATTCATCTTCTGTGTAATTTCATAAACAATCAATCACAAGACTTATTCAAATTCAGATCAAATGCAAGAATCAGAAAATCTGCAAAACTTACCAGCACTAGAAACTTGACTTGGTCTCTGAGAGTTACTCGAAGTCTCAAAAACACGAACCTCTCGCCCTAATTTCTCTCGCATATCAGCAATTTTAGCCTGATTTTACGAAATTTCATCAAATAAACATCGAATTCGACACAAGAAATGACAAAACCCTAGAAAAATTTGCGTGAACCCCAAAAGATAGAAGAAGAAGAAAATTTAAGATCAAACGAAAATCGAAATGGAACTAGGAATCAGATGATATAAATCAATGAAGGAGAAGAAGAAGAATGAAGTCAGACCTGAGCTGAAGAAGAAGCTTCCATGGAATCGATGATCTCGAGTCGTCTCCGTTTCAAGGTGTGAAGAGAAGGGTCATCAACAAACATCAGACCCGACCCGGTTCAAGTTATTCTTTACTTGCTCGCTGCAAATCCACCGTCTATATACCAGAGGCGCATTTATTTGTTTTAAGAGATTTTCAATTTAAGAGTATGTACGTGATATTTTATGAGTATCATTAACAATTTTTTAGTATTAATTTTAATATTTGTTTATTGTTTGAGATTTTTTATGATACTTGTAATAAATCTGTTTCCATTGGTGAGATCGGTATCAGTATCATTAATATATAAAAAAAAATATTTAAAAAATTGAAAAATAAATATATAAAAACATAAGATTACAAAAGGTAATATTACGATCCATAAAAACGTAAAATACAAAAGGTTTTACCTTCAAGCTTCCTCGTTGTTTTTACTCTTCTGCTGCCTGTAATCAATCAACAGGATAATAAACAAACACTCAGCTAATTGATTCTACTTTGTAAAGATTTCGAAGACTATAAACATGACTGGATTATTCACCAATTGTGTGCTTTTACTTAATATCTACGAAATGCATACACATTGTAATAAGATTGAACATGTTTTACAACTCTCAAAACACCTAGGGAGTGTATTGGATTGTGTATTTTGGAAGAGTTTAATATTTTTTTGAAATCACCTGTTATTGAATGAATGATTTTGAAAAACATTCACAAATCTCATGTTATTGAACATGGAATTTACTTAAAAGTTAAAAAGATTCAAAGTCATCTAAAATCACTTGCAATCTATGATTTATAAAACTCTTACAATATTGCTATCAGAGCCACTACACATATAATAACATCCCATCGTCGGTTCACTGACTTGATCGAGTATATACCCACGAAGCAGCTTGACAATGATTCCATGGTATCTCTTCTTTTCTTCTTTTGTGATGGTCATTCCTCTAACAGTGATGACATTTGTTTGTCTATCATGTTTGGTAAGGGAAGTACCCTTATCTCCATTGATGCTGATTCTAGTGTTGGGATTTCGTTTGATGTGTTCCCCATCATTACCGCTTCATCAAGATTGATGATTTCGTCCCTGAATTTCCACAAAGAAATTCTCGTCATTATGCACCTGAAATACAGACAAATCATTAACAACAAGGACAATCAAGAACCATCATCCAAATTTGTTTTGATACCAATTTGTGAGGTTTTTAACCTCCTTAACTTAAGCTATCTTACTCACAAGCACACAACTACTACCTTGAAGCTTAACAACTGACTTGAATAATGCAGAACAGAGACTGAAACTTAAAGAGAAAGTGATGCAGAGATAGAGAAGTGTTTAACAATGAAGATGCAGAGAACGAGTGTGATGCAGAGCCTTTAAAGAAGAATGATGCAGAGCTGGAAAAAATGAAAGGAACACACAAGGTTTAACGAGTTCGGAACCTCAACGTGAAAGCATCATCCTAGAATTTACAGAAGATCATAAATCAATCAACTTAAGCCCAAAAACCCGCCCTGCCTTCATCTATCCAATCAAGATGTCAAAGAAGACTTTAGGGTTCTATCTCCTCTTCTCATACTACAAAAATCTCAGTTTTGTATGTATTCATTGTTCCATTAAAGACAATGGCATTCTCAACCATATATACCTAATCTCTATTAAATTCAAGTGCTCAGTTTCAATTCTAGTTCTCTATTAAATTCAAGAGCAGCTTTCTCTTTAGCTAAGATTGATTACATATATCAGAATGATAAATAAATCTTCACGCAGACAACAGGATACCAGAGAGATGAGATGGGAGCAGTATGAGACGATAGTCTACAAACCTTTCGCTGGGTTATGGACTGGATGAAGCATTACTTCATCATGATTCTCAGAAGCTGAAATCACCAAAGTCCAAAAAAAAAAATTAAAGTTATGGCAAAGTTAGATAAACCAGATAAATTTAGCAAAGAATTCCACTAAATACACAATCCCTCACTATCTGAGAGTTAAATACACAATCCCTCACAATTAAAACAAACAAATCAGCTAAACCCTAATCCGATTTCTAATCCAAAAGCCGATAATCCTCCTTCCAATTTAAGATTAACTACCAGAGTAAAGAATCCATCAGCTTAATAATCGAAGATAACAAAGTAAGAGGCAGAGATTCAACCAAAATAGAAGAAAAGCTCCGATCGACTAACAAAACCAGTAAGCGCACAATCTAGAAATCGAGAGAGAGAGAGAAGAAACATAGAGCGATGAAGAGAGAAAGAGAGAGCTCGGAAACCCTTACCCATGGCGGATTTTCGCGATGAAGAGGTTTTCGCGAATCGCAGACAGAGAAGAGAGGAGAAGAATCGAGAAGGAAATGATTTTTTTTTTCTCGGTTTCAGCCAAAAACGCGTTTTGCCCACCAATAGCATGCTGCCACGTCACATGATACTCAGTATCAGAAGTATCACTGGGCTGATACGTATCAGACCCAAATTCATGTTTTGATCCTTTAAATAATAATTATTGGGCTCTTGATACTCAAATTAATTCTCCTATGTGGATGGTCTAAGCCCACTATGTTATGTTTATTTTTTATTTTTCCAACTAAAACATTAGTCTTAAACTACTAAACAAATTTGTTCAAAAAAAAAAAAAAAACTACTAAACAAAATGAATAATGAATGAGATAAATAATAGAAAATGAAATTAAATTTTATTTTGTTGAAATATTAAATTTATTATTTAACAAAATTAGTTTATATACAAACTAATAATTGATAAGACCAAAAATCCGAAAAATGAATTTAAAACGTGAGAAAATTTATAGTGGCATTCCTCTCATTCTAAACCAATATTGGAAGATATCAAAGAGCGACGCGTCGGGGTCTTAAAATAACATAGATAAACCATTCGGTTCAACTTCTCAATCTATCGAATGAGGAATGACTCCAACTTGTATGTATGTGTGTGACATTTTTCATTTCGTTCCAGTCGAATGTGATAGAGAACATTAACAATATCAAACATATATGAAGATAAAGTGAATGAGTTGAACGAGCGAACAATTAAAATGATAAGGTTTGGTCTTCCAATCCGGATCAGGTTGATTGTATAAAAAATCATCAACAATATTCGTTTAAATCGTATAAATGTATTACGGATAAGCGAAGAAAATATAATTTTTTTTTCGTTTTTTGTAGTCTATTTGGTGGATATTGCCACGCGGTTTAGTTACGACCACTGCTTTAAGAATAAGAGACAATAATAAAACGTACTGTATAGAGTACTCTCCTTCTTTTCTCGGATTTCCAAAGATCCGTCACTTTTTACTCAATATCTCAAAACTAACCAGACCGCGATCCATAGATATGGCCTCACTTCCACGGTTCCACCAATAATTCAAGCTAAAATATATAATTAAATTATTTTGAGAAATACAAGTAAAAAATAGAAAAAAATAATTGTAATCGTTTTTACAAAAAAAAAAAAACAGATATTTCTAGCGAAAGGCATATCGACAAAAAATATGGTATGACACAAATATGTTGTACAAAATAAAGTATTTTTTCTACCTGAAATTAATAAAGTACCTACCATTAAAAGGAAAAAATAAAAGCCTTTAAAGAAAATAAATATTGTCCTACGAAAGTGAAAATTTATTAATCAGATAGTCTCTTTCCCACCTAAGCTTCTTTGCTTTTTTTAATTTTTGTTGTATCCTTCTTGTCTCTATTAACGCTCATCTTCCACCATCAAGAAGCTCCAAATCGAAGCAATCTTCACTCTCCACAAACCCTAATTCGATGCAATTGCAATTTTCCACTCTTCATGTTCTTCTATCCATGGATCCGTAAATCTCTATAACCTCACAAAAGGTGTTTTCCAATGCCTAGCGTTGGTGTGAAGCTGTACAGTGTCTTCTTCAAGTTCCTTTTGAAACACCGTTTACAAAACCGAATTCAATCTTCCGGTGATGAATCTTCTTCGGATCCATTTGGTGTCACGACCCGACCCGAAGAATCCGTCGCTGCTCCGAATCCGTTATTCACCGACGGTGTTGCGACCAAAGATATTCATATCGATCCGTTAACTTCTTTATCTGTACGGATTTTTCTTCCGGAATCTGCTCTTAAGCCGCTTGAACCGAGTACCTCCGCCGGTGTTTATTCCGGTAAGGCTCGAAATCTCAACAACCTCGCCGGATCCGATCTTCTTATTAGGAGAAATAGCTTAGGTTCGTCTAATTCGTTGTTGTCTCATAAGGTAGAATCTAGAAGGAGTAGTTACGGTTTCACCACTGGTTCTTCTTCCCCTGAGGCAGGATCCTCCGACGTGTATAGAGGATACTCGCCGTCGTCTTCCGGTGGAAACTCTAGAAAACTACCTGTGATGCTGCAGTTTCATGGTGGTGGTTGGGTAAGTGGAAGTAATGACTCAGTGGCTAATGATTTTTTCTGTAGAAGAATGGCGAAGCACTGTGATATCATTGTTTTGGCAGTCGGGTACAGGCTTGCGCCTGAGAATCGGTATCCGGCTGCGTATGAGGACGGGTTCAAGGTGTTGAAATGGCTGGGGAAGCAGGCGAATTTGGCTGAATGTAATAAGTCGATGGGAAATTCGCGGCGACCGGGAGGTGAAGTGAAGAAATCAGAAGTGAATAAGCATATTGTTGATGCTTTTGGTGCTTCTTTGGTGGAGCCTTGGCTTGCAACTCATGCTGATCCTTCGAGGTAAAACAATATCTTTCCCTTTGCATTGCCTATGAAATTTAAGGGAAATGTTGATTCTTGTTTAGGTAGTGAAACTAGTGAAAGAGCCAAGAATTTGTTAGAAAAGAATGTGTGTGTGTTCCTGCCTGCCTGAAAATCTAAGCTTTAATGTCAACTTTATTTGTGCAATACAATGTCCGTTATGATCTTTGTTCTATGATCTACTAGTGGAAGGACTTGATTAATTATAGTATTGTTTCTTGGTACTGAACTACTGATGCTAAGTTCACCTTAATAGTCAATAGGTCCTTATCATGTCTTGAAATTTGTCAAAAGATACTTGCTTTCTCACGGGACTTCTGTTGCTACGTCTCCTCTTACCCATTGATATGAAATGTGGATTTGTTTCGTCTTCATTAATTTCTGGTCTTAGTACATGCTAGATATGTAAATTCAATCCTTTGGATTCCAGGAATCTTCTTGGATTGGATTATAAAGCTTGTTTGTTTGATGAAAAAACCATCTGCTTAGGATTCAGTTTCCTGAAAATGTGCTTGGTATGTTGTCAACTGTGGTTCATATGCATGTCACACCAAAAGTCTTTTTTTTTTTTCCATTCTTTAATGATCACTGCTGTCACGTAGTTCAAGGAGTTTGCTTTCAATAAGTGTTCTGCTTTTGATTCTTAAGAACACTTAAGGATAACGAAATTAGATCCCAGCGGAGTATGAGATAAATTTTGTAGATCGTTGCTTTCATGTGATTCAGGTGACCAAAAATCTTACTGAGTTCTGTGACTTCTCGAAATTTGAAACTTCAGATGTGTGCTTCTTGGTGTGAGCTGTGGTGCCAATATAGCAGACTATGTAGCCCGCAAAGCCATTGAAGCTGGTCAAAATCTAGATCCTGTCAAGGTTGTGGCTCAAGTCTTAATGTACCCGTTCTTCATTGGTAGTGTTCCCACACAGTCTGAGATCAAACAGGCAAATTCCTACTTCTACGACAAACCTATGTGCATTCTCGCTTGGAAGCTTTTCTTACCCAAAGAAGAATTCAGCCTAGACCACCCGGCAGCAAACCCCCTTGTTCCTGGCCGAGGTCCACCACTCAAGTTCATGCCACCGACACTAACCATTGTCGCAGAGCATGACTGGATGAGAGACCGAGCCATTGCTTACTCAGAAGAGCTAAGGAAAGTTAATGTAGATGCTCCCGTGCTAGAGTATAAAGATGCGGTCCACGAGTTTGCTACCCTCGATATGCTTCTTAGGACTCCACAAGCTCAGGCTTGTGCAGAAGATATTGCAATTTGGGCCAAGAAATACATCTCTCTTCGTGGTCACGAGTTCTCATACTAGTGTTCACCAGAATCTCCAGGTAGCAAAAAGAGGTGAATCAAAAGTAGACCAGATTTTTTCGGGTTTTGCTGTTTCTCCACGAAGCGAAAAGAGGTGAACCGAAAGTAAACTTTTCGGGTTTTGTTGTTTCTACCAGGAAGCAAAAAAAAGGCAGGCGAAGGGAGAGGTTCTTTTTCTCTCTGTGAGTAGAGTTAGTGTAGAGAGTTGTTACTTTGTGATATGGGTCGAGTGAAAGACTCAGGTTGTCTCGGGGTATTTCCCATATATTAAACTATATATACGTCACTCTCGGTATGAGGTTCGAATCGAAGTTTGTTTTACTAACAATCAGTATTCAGTATTTTTTAATTAACCATTCTGAAGTTTAGGCATGTACATTTGCAGTATCTAAAAAAATCACCCGAGACAAAGAGAGGCCGGCGCCGGCCAGAAATAATGGAAGATCGGAGAAGTTGTGGCTGGAAAGACGCTTTGGAGGAATCGCCTTTGATATCGCCAGAAACCGTTCCTTTCTTACATTTTTACCTATAAACGTTTTTAACAATCTTTAAAAAATATTTATGATATGGCATATAACAATTTGGTAGAATTTATGTAATATTTCAAACATTTGAGTTGAGTATCACAATTTTAATACATAAATGCAATCAAATAACTTTTTGTAATATAATATTTTGTTCAAAATGAGTTCCTCGCTATATCACGGAGGCTCGTAACCTAGTTTTGAAAATAAAAATTAAAAATCATATAAATAGTATCTATTAACATATCCTTTGATGGGTTAGTGCTTCAGCTAGGGTCAAAACGCGAGTCAATTTCTGGTACTGGTATATTTGAGAGTTATTTCATCTAGAAACTGTAATATCTATTACTGTTTCCTTAGACAAAAAAAAATAGAAATCTATTAATAATGTATCCATAATTTATATCACTAATTGAAATGCAACCTTTTTGGGTATGAAACACATAAATCCATCCAAATATCATTATTCAACAAAATCATTATTTAAATAGATTTATTAAGAAAAAGGAATAATACATGCGAGATAGCATTAATAGTAAAAGAAATTAATATTTTTATATAGAAAAAATAAATTTGGTATCTTGCCAATATAGCTTGATAACGTCGCTACTCCAAGGTTTACCCAATATGAATTGTCATTGTCCTTAATTTCTACTTGAATACCGTTTCGAGGAATTGGAACTCCGGTGCTTCTTGTTATGTTCTCAACTTTATCTTTCGGCAAAAACAAACGATTCTTATAACAAACATCATTTTCTGTTAGTGTTTTTCGTATCATCATATTCGGATCCATTTTACTAAAATTTTGAGTGTCTTAGAAATATAATTAAGATTTTTTCGTAAAGTGAAATATTTGAGGAGTTCGAAGAGTTCAACGCATATACAGTGGCGGACCCAGAAAATAATATTACCGGGGTCAAAAATATATATAATTTAAAATATATTATTTATATATACTACTAAAAGATTATATATATATTATCGATAATTGTTTTTCTTTAATACTTATATATATTTTTTAAAATTTTCTTAAAATGATACCATATTTCGATAATAGTAATGCAAATATTAAAATTAAATCATCTACAATATGCTTAATCACATATTATAAATATGTAAAATATTTTAAATCGCATTAACATGGTTTAACTAGTTTTGGGCTTATTGTATGAAAGTAGTTGGTGTTAACTACAATTTTTGTCAATTTTTTAAATCCATAGAAAAAATGTTTTGTAATAGATTAATACTTGTAACAGAAAATAGATGTATTATGAAAAAGAAGATAATTAATAATTAATTATATTCCATAGAAAATGAAATGTAAACTAAGTGAGAAAATGAGTGTTGCATATTAAGATATTCTAAAAAAGGAAATTATCTTCAAAAACAATGAATAATGAGTGTTGCAAGGGGTGTCATTGAATCCAGGTTTTGATATTAATGAGGTCAAACACTACCAATTATTCCAAAGACATTTACAATATAACTTATAAAACAAAGTTTCTATAAATTTTAGGGGGGTCAGTTGCACCCCCTCCTTAACACATAGGTCCGCCGGTGCGCATATATATATACCTCTTGGCCAAAATAATGTTCCTTGGATTGGCTTTTATATTTATTTGAACAGTATTAATTGTATTAAACACAACTCTCTAAATTTAGTAAATGTTATGGATATATTTTCTAAGTTAGCATATTATTAATTTTCTAAATTTACAACTTGATATGTTAAATTAGTCACATATTCTTGTTATGCTGAATTGTATTTACAAAACCTTATTTTTAGTGCTTTTTAAAAAAGTCTTCCCAAGCTTAATCTATTATAATATCTAAGAAACATAAACTCTATTAGTATCTGAAAAATCTCTTTTCCAACAATAAAAGTGTGCATTATATCTTTGATATCTAAGGTTTCTTTAGTTTTTACAATAACTCCTATTATTTTGCCTACCAAAAAAATAACTCCTATTATTTTTGACATTAATAATATTTTTGAATTTAAAAATCACTATTAATAACAAAAAAAATCTAGTTAAAATAATGAGAAATTGTTAAAAATACCCTTTTTTCAATATCCCTTTTCAAAAATGCCCCCTTTGAGAGTCCATTTTTAAGTTTGCCCTCTTTTAATTTTTAATGACCATTTTACCCTTATTTGAAACAAAATTAGGTCCACAAAATACAAAATATTTTTTTTGCGGGAAAAGTGATCCCGCAATTTTCCCGCCAAAACACTTGTAAAAACTTATAAAATACCTTGTAAAATTTTCCCGTAAAAATTTTTCCCGTCAAAAAATTTTTTTTGCGGGAAAAGTGATTCCGCAAATTTTTTGGCGGGAACATTTTTGGCGGGAAAAATTTACAAGGTATTTTAAAGGTTTTACGGAGTATTTACAAGTGTTTTGTAAAGTTTTACAATGTATTTTAAAAGGTTTTACAAGGTACTTGTAAGGTTTTATAAGGTATTTATAACTTGTAAAACCTTATAAAAAACTTGTAAAACCTTATAAAATAGCTTGTAAAATCTTATAATATCTTATAAATACCTTATAAATACGTTGTAAAACCTTTTAAAATACATTGTAAAACATTATAAATACCCTGTAAAAAACCTTTAAAATACTTTGTAAATTTTTTCCACCAAAAATTTAACGCCAAAAAAATTGCGGAATCACTTTGAAAGGTTTTACAAGGTATTTTAAAGGTTTTACAAGTTTTTACAAGTGTTTTGGCGGGAAAAATTGCGGAATCACTTTTCCCGCCAAAAATATTTTGTATTTTGTGGACCTAATTTTGTTATATTTCCTTATATATTTGTGATATCTTTTATTAAAAAAAAGGTAATTTAGTCATTTTATACATAAAAAGGGATATTTTTAAAAATGGACAGCCAAATGGGGCATTTTTGAAAAGAGGTGTTGAAAAAGGGGCATTTTTTTTTTTAACCGGGTGCTTGTCTCTTGGTGGTATAGGAACCTTGGCTGAGGCACCCGCCACCCGGCTTCGAATCCCGGCCACTGCGCAATTTACCTACGGGGCGCAGCGTCCTAGACCACCAGATCCGAGGGGCCCTTAAGTGGAGGCTTAAAAATCCAAGGAACGCGGGCTTAGGCCCAGTGGACTAGTCGGATCATAGTGTGGTCTGGACACTGGGTTATCAAAAAAAAAAGGGGCATTTTTGTGAGCCTCCCTCAAATAATTTGCATTAATTTTTTGCTCAAACAGAAATACAATTGCCAACATCAACAACAATTTATTGCGAAACCATTTATATCTATCAACCAATGATACGATGACATTATAAACACAAAGCAAATACTCAAACATGTCAATCAAATAAATCCCGCAAGGGAATCCACAAGAATGAGTGAGAAGAAAACCTTCTTACCGGAAGAAGAATTCAGCTTGGACGGTTGAACCATCCGGCAGAAAACCCGCTCGTTCCAGGCCGAGGTCCACCGACCACCGCTCAAATTCATGCCACCAACACAAACCATTGTCGTAGAGCATGACTGGATGAGAGATCGAGCCATTGCTTACTCAGAAGAGCTAAGGAAGGTCGACGTAAATGCTCCCATGCTAGAGTACAAAGACGCTGTTCACGATCGTTTGCAATCCTCGACATGCTTCTTAGGACCGCAAGCTCAGGCTTGTGTAGAAGATATTGCAATCTGGGCCAAGAAATACATCTCTCTTCGTGGTCACGAGTTCTCATACTAGTGTTCACCAAAATCTCCAGGTAGCAAAACGAGGTGAACCAAAAGTAGACCAGATTTTTTCGGGTTTTGCTGTCTCTCCATGAAGCGAAAAGAGGTGAACCGAAAGTAAAATTTTCGGGTTTTGTTGTTTCTACCAGGAAGCAAAAAAAAGGCAGGCGAAGGGAGAGTTGTTACTTTGTGAGATGGGTCGAATGAAAGACTCTGGTTGTCTCGGGGTATTTCCCGTATATTAAACTCTATATACGTTCCTCTCTTTTATTTAGAGTTTCAAGCTTGTGTTGTATATCATTGTATGAGTAACGTCCATTTGTGGTTAACCCAACCAAACCTAATGCAGACCAAAAAGATTGAACTCTGTACCAAATTTTAACTTGAATTTGTTTGATTTTTATCTTTGATAGTCCTAACTCCTTAGTAGACAATAACCGAATTCTTTTTTCAACGATCTCGCGGTGTGAGGTTCAAATCGAAGTTTGTTATACTAACAATTAGTATTTTTTTGATTAACCATTCTGAATTATAGTCATGCACATTTTCAGTATCAAAAATATCACCGGAGACAGAAATAACCATTTGTTTCACCGTTCGTAACGTTTGGCCCAAAGATTCCGAATACATCCCATGAAGCTAAATTCAACCCAAAGAGTCTTTTTTCTTTTACTGTAATTTTAATCATAGTTAACTACCATAAATGTTTTACTAGTCAAAGATATCCAATTTTCTTACAGAGATTGGAGAAATTGGTAGTAAGATTTTTTGTTAAGATTTTAAGTCTTTGGGTCGCAGATGAGATGGTAAGATTTTCTCAGTTTAAATTACGAATTGTTAAGAAAGATGATTGAATGTTTCATTTTGTAAGTGTTAAATGAAACTTGGGTCATATAGCCGGGGAAAGAGTTCCCGCGGTGGATCTAAGCTTAGCACCAAAGCTTTACCATCTCCAAGGTGCTCTTGGCCATTTCAAAAGCTGGTCTGTCCCCGCGAGCTTGCCCCATGTCCATAACTACATGACGGCTTTGTTCTCTCTTGACTCCTTAAGAAAACTAAGACCGAGGAAAAGTATGTGATCTCAGGATGGGCTCCCAAGGTCAACCCTTGAAACTACGCACTAATATTGGACTATTGGTGTGATAATGTGGTTCAAGGTGTCTCTTATATCAGTCAAATAATGTACTGGACCTTTTATGTTATGTATTGATATTAATGAAATAAGCCTCGTTTTGAGATAAGATTTGCGTCTAACATCGAAACAATCGATCTTTGAAACAAACATAAAGGACGGGGGTTTTCAGACAAACCGGTTAAGATACTCATCGATGGTTGTGTACTTCACCTCGGGGTAAAGCTCGGAAGCCTCAACTCCAAAAGAAGGGTCTATATCGAAGGAGGTATGATCGCTCTTCACAAATATCGTATGGATCAAACCCATGGCAAAATCAATTGGTGGCTGAGTCTCTGCAAATGCAAGTAAAAAACCACACAAAAGACAAGACTTATAATACTTGTGACTGATTACAATTCGATATAAAAAAAATCTATTATCATGTTTAAAGTGATCACCTTCGATGCTTTTTAGGAGCTCTTCCTCTGAAACATAAGTCTTGTCGAGAGTCTTACCGATCTTTCTCTCCCAAAAACCGACCATATCGTTCTGCGATACAATGTTCTTGGGCGGGTAAATGTAGAGAATCTTGTTAACTGTTCTCGGGTCATCAACAGCTTTTAATGTATATGTAGCAATGTCTTCTTCAATATTGAAAATGGCTGCAAAAGAAAAATAAATTAATACCAAACATACACAAGTAACATAGAGTGTAACGTACAGGCATATATATCGGCTACCTTTGCCATTGCCACTGTCGTAGATAGAAACTTTATCTCTAGGAGGAGATGTGAGTCGCAAGTGGCATTGACCTAGACATGGAACGAAAAAACCAGCAAAACAACCTGTGACCACATACGTATAAGGTATCTTTGCGGCTTCTATGGCACGCCTTATCTGAGCTTTCCTGTTGTAATTTGATAGTGTCGCAGTCGCTGGCTCGATGGCCACAGTACGATCCACGTCGTTGTCAAATTCCGATGGTAAGAATCTCGGGATGACAAATATATATGAGTGTGGAAGTCGAAACTAACACAATCAAGATTTGTCTAGGGTTTTATTTTAGGGATACGATAATCGTGAATTCTCAAAGAACAACAGAAACGATTGATACCAAAGATGGCGTTCTTGATATTATTAATGAAAAGACGATTTTGATCGTACAAGAGTTTGATCGTAAAAGAAAAAGTGTTTGTGCTGTGAGAGCTTTGCGTAGTGTAATTTCTAGAGCGATATTGCTTGCCCCCATCGTTCTAGCCTTGAATCTCTTTATATAGGGAGGACAAACCGCCTCTCCAGCGATATTCTCGGAAGATTTCCATTTATCTTGAAGTCGGCTAGAATATCGCGGATTAGGATAATTTCCTTATTCTTCGGAGTTTTCGGAAGATTTCCTGATTTGAGTTGATCCTTCGCGATTCTTCCTTATCATTTCCGAGATTATCGGAAATGATCCTTCTTTTTCGGAAATGACAATGTGCTTAGAAATGATACCTTTAAAGAAGAATATTTACTAAGTCTTTGCTTCGGGCGATGATGAAGACTTCGCTTCAGGGAACTTGTAAGACCGGCTCGGGTACACATGAAGGACTGGCTCGGGCATTCTAGGGTGGCTTCTTCGGGTGTCCCCGAGGCGATGGGCTCGGAAACTCCCGAGGCGACCAGGCTCGGGTACCCCCGAGGCAATTGGGCTCGGGTGCTTCTGATGTCTGCTTCAGGATATCCCCGAGGCGATGGGCTCGGGTACCCCCGAGGTAATTGGGCTCGGGTGCCTCCGAGGCGGTAGAGCTCGGGTGCCTTCGTAGTCTTGTTAATGTATCTCCGAGGCGATGGGCTCGGGTATACTAAATCGTTTAGACAGGATATCCCGAGGTGAATGGTGCGATGCCCCGAGATGATCTCTGAAAGACTCCCAAAGTGTTCTAAGTCTGGCTCGGCGCCAAAGGGTGAAACCGACCCCAACAGTTAGCCCCCCAGCTCGTTAGTTTGGAAAACCAAGCGTGATGAGCTTTATGACATTTAGGCCGAGCCGTTTACTTTGGACAGTTCGGTCCTTTTAAAGTTTTTGGCGATTCGGATTCCTCTGTCGTTTCATCTTCTCTTGGCGTGTGACGGTTGGGATTCCTTCTCGAGAAGTGGAAAGGTCCTTTCGCTGATTCCCGAGACTCGTGCGGATGCGAAGTATCTTACTTACTTCGTTTGTGCCCGACGCGCCTCAGACGCGGATTCGATGTGTTTTATTTGGCTCGTTCGTACCCGACGCGCTCCAAATCTCTATAAATGTCAAGCCTCCGATTCATTTCTTCATTTCGCAATTGCAAAGGAAAATTTTCAAGGTTCGTTTTCTTCTCTCTGATCTTGAGTTCTTGAATTTTCTACTTTTTCCGTTAATATTTCCGTCATAGCGCCACCGTCATTAGATCTAGGTTGATTTCCCCGATCTGTCAAACTTTGTTCCTCCGATCAACTTCTTCAATCTCCCGAGGCCAAAAAAAATGTCTCTATCTGATTCCAGCGATTCGCCCCGAGGCGACACTCTTCTCCCCGTCTACAAGAGAAAGATGGTCTGGAGTTCCTCGAGCGACCCCGAGGCGGACCATCAGATCGTGTTACGCCGTGGGAGTGATGCAGAGTCGGCTTCACGGGAAGAAAACCCGAGCCGTTTCGTTGTTCGGGAAGACGCGGTTGCAAATGTGGCTCGGGATCAGGATTTGCCTGATGATCCCGAGGCGATTTTGAGTAGAAGGAGGGCCCATCCACCGGCAGTTGGTGAAGCTGGAGTATCGTGCTGGCGGAACGCCCCCGAGGCGCCTCTACTTCCTGTTAAGGCCGAGGAAGTCCACTACGATTCTGACGAGGCGGCTAGGTTGCTTCAAGCTAAAGTCCGAGCAGCCAAGGGTCAGCAGAAGAGAAAACGAGCCAAGAAGGCTAGGAAACCTGATCCCCCGGGTTCTACTTTATGCACGGAGGACTCCCTTCGGGATCTCAAGGCTCGATTTGGTTTCAGTGAGGGGGTTGAACTGAGACTTCCAACTCCAAACGAGCGAGCTGATGATCCACCCGAGGGGTTTTTTACCCTCTACGAGGGGTTCTTCTATCATTGCTTCCTTTGGCTTCCAATCCCGAGGCCGATTTTGGCGTTTCTGTGGTCGTACAAGATTGCTTTATCTCAGATAACGACCCGAGGCTTGCGGCATCTAGTGGGGATTTTAGTCCGAAGTATTGAGACGGTCAACCTGGTTGACCTAAGCCACTTAAGGAATCTCCTAGAGATCCGGCGAATACCGGGCCCTGTTGAGAGATTTTACATATCTCCGAGGCCAAATAGGAGGGTTATCGGCGGTTTCCCGAGCAAGGATGAAAAATATACCGACCATTTCTTCTTTGTAGCCTTGAATGAGTATAGTGTCCACGAGGACTACTTAGGGAAAGTTGTTGGAAAGTGGAGACAAATCGGTACTACGCCCGAAGCTGTATTTGCTGTCTTGTTCTTTATATTCTCTTTACTAACCGTTTCTCTTGTTCATGCAGATCGGAACCCGTCGTTTCTCGAAACCATTCCCGAAGGCTTTCTAGACCTCCACGACGAACTAATAGCTCGGAAGTGTGATTGGACGAAGCACTTTTCCCAGGAAAGGATTGAGAGAGCCTTGCGTTTGTTGCACGGAGCTCCCTGCCAGTCTTCTTCAGAATCATCCGACCATCGTTTAGATCACCTCATCGAGATGCAAGGAGCCGCGCAATCTCTGAGAGCCAGGAAGGCCGCTGAAAAGAAGGCGGCTAAGGAAAAAGCCGTTTTGGAGGCGAACTTCAGACCTCCTACTCCTCCCGAGGCCAACCTTGAGGTCGTCATGGATGCCGAGGCAACTGATGTACCTCGGGACATGGTTCCGATTGTTCCCGAGGTGGTCGGACACATCTCCCCTACGACCGACGTCCCCGAGGCGGTAGGGACTCTGGTCGTTGCTGCTCCGGTCGCCGAGGCGAAATCCAAAACTAGGGGAAAAAGACCCCGAGGCGATGGCTCGGGAGTCTCAAGGAAGGAGAAAAGGAGTCGTAGCGAAACTCCAGTGTACAAGGATAAGATTGCTTCGGCGAACTTTGTCGCTTCTTGCTCCGGGCCGCCACTGTCTGCTCCTGATGCCTTGTTGGAGGCTCAAAACTACCGTGAAACCGCTGCCGGGTTCTTGAAGGTATTACCGATCTGTTCTTGACCTGTTTTACTATCGTTTCCATGTAATACTTGCTAATAATTCTCGTTCTATTTCAGGCCTTCCATTCGATGAATTCCATGGTTCGGGCCTATGATTCTGGAGCTCGGAAGTCCGAGCTGGCCCGTGAGAGATCGGAGGCGTCACGAGCTAGGATCGAAGCTGAATTGTCCGAGGCGATCGCGGCTAAATAGGAGGCTGAGGCGTTGGCCAAGGCCGAGAAGGTGGAGCGATTGAAAGCATCTGAGGATAGCTTGCGGACTCAGAGAGAGCTTGAGGCCGAGGTCGAACGACTCCGTCGGTTATTCAACGAGGAGAAGGCTCTCCGGGAAAAGGAGATTGTCAGAGAAAGGAAGGCAGCAAAAAGGGAGTTCGCCGAGAAGGTCAGGGCTATCGAGGCGAAGATGGACCAGTTCGGGGAGGTGTCCACGCGCTATATATACTTGGTGCAAGCGCGGGCCAATGCCGAGCTGATAGCCGAGCTGGAGGAAGGAAAGAGGGTTGAAGACGAGAAGGCCGAGGTCCTTCAGTGGACTGCTGAATATGGGAGCGCCGAGGACGAGTACGTCCGTCTTGGGACCGAGCTGCGAGAGGACTTGAAGCTTCCTCCGGTTTCCCCGGATTCTGTCGATGACAGCTTCGGAAACCGTTCGATCGAAGGCGCCGCAGTGGCGCTGGGTGTTGCCGACCAGTCCGGTTCGAACCGAGGTACCGAGGTAGCTCAAGTTTCGCCGGTTAACCAAGATTCGATCTGATCCCGAGATGTTTTTTTTTGTTCTCTTTTTTTTTGTAAGACTTGCCTGGATGGCTTTATCCCTTGAATATTATGTCCAAGTATTTTTTCTTAAACATTTTTCCGAACTGGATTCAAAACTAATGTCAAGTATTTGGTTTTATCCTTCGAGCCGAGAGCAAAAGAATCATGCACCGGTGTTAAGTTAACCGGGTTTAAGAATTGCTCGTTGAGAAGTTAAATCCGAACGCCTTATCTTTCGAGCCGAAAATGAAATGAATCGTGTACCATCGTTAGGATAACTGGGTTTCGGTTAAGTAGGACTAATCTTTATCGGTTGCGACCCGAGCCGATATAGTCGAAGCCAGTGCTTAGAAGCGGACTGGGGTACCAGTGTCGAAGTCAACTGGGTTTTTTGAAGACAATTTCTTTATGGCAGGATATCTCCGACCGAATCGTCTCGACTGTTTATATAGCGCGCTGTAACCGAGGCGGTGCAAAGAGCTTTTTCTATCCGAGGACGTGGCCATCGTCCGAGCGAACTTTTAGCTTTATAGGTCGATAAGATGACCGATCAAATCTTCGAGGTGGATAAAATTAATAACCCGAAGGGTAAAGACTTAGGGAATTTGAAAAATTTAGTGGGAGTATATAAGTATACGGACCCACTCCCCCCTTTTTAATTAGGGGGGGTAGCTGAACTCGTCCGAGGACGAGCTGCCTACGTACCCTTTGCAGGGATCAAGCCACCCCGTAGTTCGAGTACATGCGTACCTTAGGTTTTTAGCGGTAGTATTTCCTTAGATGCATTGCGTTCCAGGATCTAGGTACCGCTTTGCCGTTCATGTTGATGAGTTCGTAGACGCCGGGACGGATTACCTTTGCGATCGTGTAAGGTCCCTCCCAATTCGCGCCGAGTTTGCCTGCGTTCTGCTCGGCGGTATTCTAGAAAACTTTGCGTAGTACGAGATCTCCTTCGTGGAAACGGCGATGTTTAACGTGAGAGTTGTAATACCGAGCCGTTGAATTCTGATAGTTCTGCATTCGGATCAAAGCCGCATCTCTTCTTTCGTCAATTAAGTCCAGCTCGTCTAGCATCATCTGGGTGTTGGAATTTTCCTGCTCGGGGAGAAAACGTCTTCTCAGCCCCGGGATCTCGGCTTCGGTGGGAATCACACACTCCGTGCCGTAGACAAGGGCGAAGGGTGTTTCTCCCGTGGCCCGCCGCGGTGTGGTTCTGTGTGACCAGAGTACTCCTTCTAATTCGTCGGCCCAGCGGCCTTTCTTTGCGTCGAGGCGCTTTTTTATCCCGTCGAGAATCGTCTTGTTTGTCGCTTCGGCCTGTCCGTTCCCCTGGGGATATCGAGGCGTAGATTTGCTGAGGCGAATTCCCCATTTCTCGCAGAATCCTTCGAACCGAGCCGAAATAAACTGCGATCCGTTGTCTGTAACGATCTCATAAGGTATCCCGTGGCGGCATATGATGTTCTTCCAGACGAAGTTTTCGACCTGCGCGTCTTTGATGCTGGCGTAGGAGTCTGCCTCGATCCATTTGGAGAAGTAGTCTGTTAGTACGAGGACGAGTTTCTTCTGTTTGGAGTTGTGTAGAGGTCCGATGATGTCCATAGACCATCGCATGAACGGATAAGGCGAAGTGACGGAAGAGAGGAGCTCGGCGGGTTGATGAATGGTTGGTGCGTGTCTCTGGCATTTATCACACCGTTGAGAAAATTTCTCGCAGTCTTTGACCATCGTCGGCCAGAAGTATCCGTGGCGTTTGATCTTTATAGCCAGAGTTCTTCCGCCAGAATGGTTTCCACAAGATCCGCCGTGAACTTCTTCCATGACTCTCCGAGCTTCGTTTCCTTCGACACAGATAAGGAGAGGACCAGAAAATCGCCATTTAAAGAGCTCTCCATCGATCAGAGTATACCGAGCCGCTTTGGCCTTAAGCTTCCGAGCTGCCCACTTTTCAGTAGGAACTTCTCCATCGGCAATGTAGCTTCGGATGGCTCCGATCCATTTGGCGTCGCTTCCGTATTCGGGCTCTGTTGCGTCCGTAGTTTGCTGGTCTAGTTGTTCGATGTCCATTTCTTCTAGTTCTTCTGTCTCCCGAGCTGTTAGAACTTGATCCTTGCTATTATCTTCAATGCTCGGCTTTTCGATGAACTCAACCGGTATGATCCTCTTCAGATTTGGGTCAGAGGTTGAAGCTAGAGCCGCTAAGGCATCGGCCGATGTGTTCTCACCTCGTGGGATTCTGGTCAGCTCAAACTCTCCGAATTGTTTCACCAAGTCCTGCGTGAGAGCAAGATACGCTTCCATTCGTTCGTCGCGAGCCGCGTATTCTCCATTGAATTGATTAGCCACGAGTTGGGAGTCGCAAAAGGCTCGCAGCTTATTGATCTTAAGTCCCCGCGCCAGCTTAAGTCCTGCTATCAGCGCTTCATACTCAGCCACGTTGTTAGTCGCGTCGAAATTTAGCCGAAAGGATTGTTCAAGGATTTCACCCTCTGGTGATGCGAGGCGGATTCCGACGCCAGAACCTTGTTTTGAGGATGAGCCGTCGACGTGGAGGATCCAAACAGCGTTGGGTGACTCTTCTCGGACGTTCTCTGTTGGCAGCTCGATGATGAAATCGGCCAGGACTTGAGATTTCGCGCATGTTTTGTTTCTGTATTCGATGTCATACTCGCTGAGTTCTACTGCCCACTTGGCTAAGCGTCCCGATTGGCTTGGACTGTGCAAGATGGTTCGGAGCGATACGGGCGCCATGACGACAATCGAGTGAGACTGGAAATATGGCCGTAGCTTCCGCGCTGACATTACTACGGCGAGGGCGAGCTTTTCAGTTTGCGGATAGCGTGTTTCCGCGTCGGTGAAAGTTTGCGAGACGTAAAAAATCGGCTTCTGCTCCCCTCTGTCTTCCCTGACTATGACTCCGCTTATAGCCGTGTCAGAGACTGCGATGTATAGGAATAACGGCTCGCCCGGGACTGGTTTCGCTAACACCGGTGGATTAGCCAAATATTTCTTCAGTTCCTGGAAAGCTTCTTCGCAGCGATCGGTCCATTCGAATTTCTTGTTCCCGCGCAGAGTATCGTAGAAAGCTAGGCATTTGTCAGTGGATCGCGAGATGAATCGGTTCAAGGCTGCGACTCTCCCGGTGAGACGTTGGACTTCGCGCTTGTTCTGCGGTGAGGGCATGTTTAGTAGAGCATCGATCTGCTTCGGGTTTGCCTCGATGCCTCGGTGAGTTATGAGATATCCCAAAAATTCTCCAGACTTTACCGCGAAACGACATTTTGCCGGGTTAAGCTTCATGTTGTGCTTGTTGAGCTGACAGAAACAGTCGCGTAGATGGGTTATGTGATCGCTTTCTTCAAGGGATTTGACTAACATGTCGTCGATATAAACTTCCATCGTCTTCCCGAGCTGTTCGGAGAACATCCTGTTGACGAGTCGCTGATACGTCGCGCCGGCGTTCTTGAGTCCGAAGGGCATGACTTTGTAACAGTAGATACCTCGGTCTGTGATGAATGCTGTCTTCTCGCGATCGTCGGGGTGCATGAGAATCTGATTGTATCCTGCGAAAGCGTCCATGAATGATAGCAACTTATTTCCCGCGGTTGCTTCCACTAAACGATCGATATGTGGGAGCGGAAAACTGTCTTTAGGGCAAGCTTTGTTCAGGTCGGTGAAATCGATGCAGACTCTCCACTTGCCGTTCTTCTTTTTAACCACGACAGGATTTGCTAACCAATCCGGATACCTTGCTTCAGAGATCGAGCCGATCTTCAGGAGCTTTTCAACTTCGGCGTTCACGGCATCTGCGCGATCCCGGCCCAATTTTCTTCGCTTCTGCTTGATGGGCTTGAAAGATGGATCAACATTCAGCTCGTGGCAGATTATGTCGATGCTTACTCCAGGTAGATCTTCAGCTGACCAGGCGAAGGTGTTGATGTTCTCTTTGAGGAATGAGATGAGCTCGATCTTGATTTCCTCGCTCAAGTCGCTGCCAATTTCTACGCATCGTTCGGGCCGTTCATCGTCGAGGCTAATGGAGATTACAGGATCCGAGGTAGGCTTCTTCTCCTCGCGCGCCTCCTCGATCTGTAATTGCTATAACTGTTTAGATATAGCCTTCTCTTCACTCCGGCCAAGTTTTGATTTCTTGTGATTGGTTTCGGCCTTCGCTTCGGTGACGGGGTTTCGGAGTTTGTGTGCTACCATGAAACACATCCGAGAATTTTTCTGACTGCCCCATATTGTTTTCACGCCATTAGGGGTCGGGAATTTGACACACAGATGATATGTTGATGCGACAGCTCGCATTAGATTTAACCACGGAGTCCCCATTATGACGTTGTAGATGGTAGGTCGGTCGGTGACTAAGAAGTTGACTATCTTTGTTACCCCGCCGGCTCGGACTGGTAGTTGGATGGTTCCAAGCGTCATCAAAGTTTCTCCTGAAAATCCGAGGACAGGCCTCGGGGTCGGAACCACCTGTGACATGTCGATGTTCATTCGTTGGAGCGTTTCGCGAAAGATCACGTCAATGGTGCTGCCGGTGTCAATCAACACTCGATAAATATCGTGGTCTCCTATCGCTAATGTGACGACGATTGGATCGTTATGAGGCATGTCGAGCCCGTTTGTCTCGCTTTCTTCGAATGTGATCACGTCGTTAGGTCGATCAAAGCGTCTTGTCCAGTTGCTAGGCATCTCGGCTCGGCGTTGATAAGCTTTAATTGCCGCTACGGTGTCAGGACAGTAAGGTGATCCACCCATTATGGTAAGAACCTTCTGTCGCGTACCATCTCGGTCTTCGTCTTCCGACCCCCGGGTTCTTTTCTGAGACTCCTGGTTCCTTGGTTCGGGGTCTCTCCCTGGATTGGTCTGCTCGGGCTCCGGTTCTGGCTCGAGGTCCTTGAGAGTAACGTTTGTCCCGAGCTCTCCAGCTAGGAATTTGGTTGCTAACTTGGCTCCGAGGCTTCGGCATCTCGAGGTATGATGGCCGAAAATTTTGTGGTGTTCACAATATTCCTGATCATTGTTCGGTGGCTGATCCCTTGTCCAGGTGAAGGACTCTCTTCCTCGCCCACGGCCCCGGCCTCTGCCGGGGTGTGTCGATTTGGTAGCTATGGTATCCTGAGAAATTACGCCCTTCGTGATGCGTATACGTACTGCTCTCACGCGTCTTCTTCTGGACTGGAGTTGCCGCTTGGGCTTTCTCAGTTTTCTCGGCTCGGGACGCCTGTTTCGTCGGCTCGTGCCTCTTTGCTAGTAGCGCCATTTCTTCTTCGTGGGCGACGAAATCCGAGGCTCGATGCAGCGCGTCACGAATTGAGGTCGGTTTAGACAGGTTCAACTCTTTCCTGAATTCTGACTTGTACCAGAGAGCTTTCTTCAAAGCCGAGAGAGCTGCTACGTCGGTAATTCCTTCGACCTTGGCTAGCGTCGATTTGAAGGTCTTGAGGAAATCTCTTAAAGGCTCGGTGGGTTGTTGAGATAAAGACCACAGATCCGCGTCGGAAGTTCCGGGGTCGATGAGCACGGAGTATTGTTTAAGGAACAATGTCGATAGCTCGTCGAAACTATCGACCGAGTTTCGTTCCAATCTTGAAAACCACTCTAATGCGGGTCCTTTGAGGTGTTCCACGAACAGTAAGCATAGACCTGCATCCTTTTCGCCGGGCTTGAACCTGGCTCGGGCCACAGATATCACAAACGATTTAATGTGGCATTTCGGGTCGGTTGATCCGTTGTAAGAATCGATTTTGAACTTCCCCAGATTGGACATCGTTGTTTCGGAAATTCTTTTGGTGAAAGGCGTATTCCGGGATTCTTCCAAAATTCGGTCGATGTTCGGTGCGGAGGACGAGACGCTATGTATCTGGGTTTTGACGAGCTTCATATCGGCTTCCGCCTTGGCTAGGGAGGCTCGGATCTTGCTTAGCTCGTCCTCTCTTTCGGATTCTTCGGCCCACCTTATGTTTTCCTCAGTTTCTTCATCGTCAGTGAGATCTGTTCGCTCGGCGGAGTTAGCTCCGGCTCGCGTACGTTCATCTTGCAGATCATCTGGCTCGTCCGTCAAGTCCACTGCGTCCGGCTCGGTGGGATCATCCTGGTTCTCGCGCCTGACAGGGTCGGCTCGGGTTGCGACTCTGGTGTTGCCGGTTGGTGTCGCGAACGTGAGTCTCATTGGGTTGATGCCAGGCAAGTCCCTCCGAGCTCGTGGTGGCCGAGTTTGGAAACGTGTGGTTTTTTGTTGCCCGCGTGTTGCGATTTCGTCGATTCGCTGCGCCAAGGTTTGGTTGGCTCTCTCTTGATCGTCAGTTTTCTTCTGGAACTTAACCATCAGATCTTTCAGTTCGGCTAGAGTCGCTAGGATCGTCGGATCGGCGGGTTGAGGATTCTGAGGGTTCGGAGGGTTCGGGATTCCTCCTCCAGCTGGTGGCGACTGACGACCGTCTTCGTTCATCATGCTTTTCAGTAATCGAGTTCTGCGTCTTAGGGTAAGAGAATTCTAAAGTATCCCCACAGACGGCGCCAAACTGTGGAAGTCGAAACTAACACAATCAAGATTTGTCTAGGGTTTTATTTTAGGGATACGATAATCGTGAATTCTCAAAGAACAACAGAAACGATTGATACCAAAGATGGCGTTCTTGATATTATTAATGAAAAGACGATTTTGATCGTACAAGAGTTTGATCGTAAAAGAAAAAGTGTTTGTGCTGTGAGAGCTTTGCGTAGTGTAATTTCTAGAGCGATATTGCTTGCCCCCATCGTTCTAGCCTTGAATCTCTTTATATAGGGAGGACAAACCGCCTCTCCAGCGATATTCTCGGAAGATTTCCATTTATCTTGAAGTCGGCTAGAATATCGCGGATTAGGATAATTTCCTTATTCTTCGGAGTTTTCGGAAGATTTCCTGATTTGAGTTGATCCTTCGCGATTCTTCCTTATCATTTCCGAGATTATCGGAAATGATCCTTCTTTTTCGGAAATGACAATGTGCTTAGAAATGATACCTTTAAAGAAGAATATTTACTAAGTCTTTGCTTCGGGCGATGATGAAGACTTCGCTTCAGGGAACTTGTAAGACCGGCTCGGATACACATGAAGGACTGGCTCGGGCATTCTAGGGTGGCTTCTTCGGGTGTCCCCGAGGCGATGGGCTCGGAAACTCCCGAGGCGACCAGGCTCGGGTACCCCCGAGGCAATTGGGCTCGGGTGCTTCTGATGTCTGCTTCAGGATATCCCCGAGGCGATGGGTTCGGGTACCCCCGAGGCAATTGGGCTCGGGTGCCTCCGAGGCGGTAGAGCTCGGGTGCCTTCGTAGTCTTGTTAATGTATCTCCGAGGCGATGGGCTCGGGTATACTAAATCGTTTAGACAGGATATCCCGAGGTGAATGGTGCGATGCCCCGAGATGATCTCTGAAAGACTCCCAAAGTGTTCTAAGTCTGGCTCGGCGCCAAAGGGTGAAACCGACCCCAACAATGAGTTCCAAATCTATTGAGGATCTTTAAGAAAGGGTGTGTGTTGTATTCATACATAATCATTTGAAAAACTGACCTTAACATTTCCAGATTCTTTGATAGCATCAATGATATTGATTTGATCGAGAATTTGAGCCCGACCAACAGCTGATATCACGACTTCGACTTGTTTGATTGCATTCACTAAGCTCTCTTTATCAGTTAAACTTCCCTGTCGTCATTATCAGTATCTAGTTCTTATTATATATTCTAAAATTTAATGTTATTGAAATAATTTTTCAAAATATTTCATTATTCAATTGAGAATTTGGAAAATTCACTTATTAAACTCTTATGTTGTTACTTAATTATTAGATAAAAAGAGCCATTTATTTTGTTGGAAATTCAAACACCCAAATTACTGTATACTTTAGAATTAAAAGCAAGGAGGTTAGAAAAAGGAAAAATTCCCAAAAAAAAACCTCATTTATTTTTTATTTGGACGTTTAATACCCAATTATTTTCGGTTGGAATAAAAATACATATATTAATTAAATGGTGTGATTTAATACCCAAACAATTAAATATTGTTATTTTCATATTCACGAACTCACAACAAAAAAAATATTCTAATTTTACCCTTACCATCTCAATTAATTATTAACTTTTAGATGACATGGCATTGTTTTTTATTTAAATAAAAATTAATTTTATTAATGTTTTATTTTATGTTGCCTAAAAAAAAAATTTATATAATTATTTTATTTTAAAATTAAACATAAAAATAAGCAAAAAATCAAAAATATTAAAAATAGTCATTTGTATAATCTTATTCCGTCTTTGCAATGTCAAAAAGTCTCGATTAATCTCTACGAGAATCGCCGGTAAACAATCTTCGTCGTGAGAAACTCTCTATTCGAATATAAATCCTTCACGAGTGAAACTATTTTTGACAAAAACTCAATCCGAATCTCATCGTCTCTCTCAAGATTTATCAATTCATAAAAATGACTATTTTGTTTTTACTTTTTTAATTTTTTGCTAATTAATTTTATTTTAAATTTTAAAAATTTAAATATTTGTAAAATAAACTGCAAATTATTTCGAAATTTGTTTTGAAATTTTTTTGGGATAACAAAAAAATGAAATATTAATAAAATTAATTTTTATTTAAATAAAAAACAAATGCCATGTCATCTAAAAGTTAATAATTAATTGAGATGGTAAGGATAAAATTGGAATATATTTTTTGATGTGAGTTTGTGAATATGAAAATAACAATATTTAATTGTTTGGGTATTAAATCACACCATTTAATTAATATATGTATTTTTATTCCAACCGAAAACAATTGGGTATTAAATGTCCAAATAAAAAATAATTGAGGTTTTTTTTGGGAATTTTCCCGTTAGAAAAATCATAAATTGTAAAGTTTCCATCTTTTTCTTACATGAAAATATTTTTGATATCTAAATAAAATTAATTTAGCCAATAAAAAAATATGAGGTACAACAATACAAATGGTTAGAAGACGAGAAGAGAATAGTTAGTCACGTACATATAGTATGGTAACGCCGAGATCTTTGAAGCTCTCGACGAGTTTGGCCTTAACCGGATCAGAGAGAGAGGCCTCTCTGACTAGAGCCAGGGCCGGCCCATGGGTAAAGCCCATGAAGCAAGGGCTTTAGGCATCAAATAATTATAAGTAGTTTTAAGGGCATCAATTTTTAAAATGTTATTGTGGTCTAGTGGTTAGGTTGAAGTCTTTTGTTATACAGGTCACGGTTTCGAATCTCATACATGTTAAAACTTATATTTTTTTTTTATAACAGCTTTTGTTAATGGACCAAAAATTTTTTTGCTTTAGGCACTCAAATAGTTTGGGCCGGCCCTGACTAGAGCGAAAGTGGCGTGACCAGACTTGGCGCTTCCCTGGACGATGACTTTTCCGATGTTACCTGTCGCTCCGATGACCAGAATCTTGCTCGTCATCTCTATGCTATTTTCGTCGGTTGGGTTTTACAGAACAGAGAAGAGACTCACATTTATAGTCTTTATATTTTTTGTTCCGTGGAGCCGACGGACCTTGTCTTGTCTGAGCTACCTTACTTTGACCACATATTGCGTTATGGAATTTTATTTCCATTTTCAGAATCACGATGGTAGAAAAAAGTTGGATTTGTTAAGTTTGCTTTGAAAGTTTCAAATTTAGCTGTTTCTTTTCAACGATCATCTATTGACTTTTTAATCTCCGTCACAGTTTACAAATTACATTGTTACATAAAAAAACTAAAACTTTTACTCTCATGAAGTGGGGCAGTGGTAGTTGGTACTTGAACTTAACTATGACGTAAACTACATGTTTGGTGCTTTTATTCGCCATGAATCTAGAAACACGGTAACCACCAGACGACTAATTGTTTTCTGTTCAAGAAAAACATTAGTGAAATAGATTTATTAAAAATCTAATAATACAAGCGAGATAACATTATATATAGAAAAAAATAGATTTGGTATCTTGCCAATATAATTTGATGACATATTTTAAGATTTCTTGCATCTGAGATTTTTCCACCCACATCACACCAACGATTATCGTCTACTCTAAAGTTTATCCAATATGAATTGTTATTGTCCAGAATTTCTACTTGAATACCGTTTCGAGGAATTGGAACTCCCACACTTCTTATTATGTTTTTCAATCTTATCTTTTGGCAAAAACAAACGATTTTTAAAACACACATTATTTTCTGTTGGTGTTTTCTGTATCATCCATTTTAGTAAACTTTTAAGTGTCTTAGAAAATACAATTAAGAATGTTTTCGAAAAATAAAATATTTGAGGAGTTTGAAGGGTTCAACGTGTATATATATAACTTCTGGGCTAAAATAATGTTCCTTGGCTTTTATATTTATCTTATTTTGAATTTTTTGAATTTTTAGATTTTAAAGTCCGAAAAGTAGGATCATTGAATTCTCTTTCGCCTATTTATTATGACTTTTGGTAATTTGGAGTGTATAGGTAACTTTTGATAATTTTCAAAAGTTTAATTAATATGGAAATACATTGACCAAAACTTAATATGGGTTTGTGTATAATTCTGGTAATTCAGATCTAACTTACCTTTTAAACAATACAATTATCCGAAATTTAACACATATCGAAATTAAGGCCTTGAATGGTTCAATGGTATGCTCCATACTAAGACGTGCATACTAACATTTAGGCCTTGAATGGTTGGTAGGTATGCAGCGGACCGGACTAAAGTCGGACTAGTCCGCACTAAATTTACCATTCAACAAATCGGACTAGTATGCAACACTCCGGACTATTAAACTCCATACTAGTTTGCACTTCAAAAAAAACTCCATACCGTGTCAATTCCATTACTTTTTGGTTTACTCCTTTCAAGCTCCATACCATCTCCATACCTACTCCATACCAATAGCAAAAATGAGACCAAAGTGTGTTTCTTTAAAGTTGGATCCAAATACTTTCTTCTCATTGGTTAAACTTGTGTTTCTTTGTACTTTTCAATAACATTTATATATATGATCATTCACAATTGTAAAAACTCACAAAACAGTCATTTATTCCAAAAAAAAAAAGGAGAGAGAAGAGAGAACTCTCTTAGATCTTAGAAAGTGACTCTCTTTTTTTGTTTTGAATCAACCAATTGTTTCATCTCAAATTCATAAGTAAGTTCAATTCCTCATCTCAAATTTTTATAGTTTAGTTTATAGTAAATCGAGTTTTGAGATACCACTTATCACAGTTCAACAATGGTCCTCCGCCAATGAATAAAGAAGAGTTATTTAATAGGTCTCATGCATCTTTACGTTCCATTATAGAACGGACTTTTGGAGTATGGAAGAAGAAGTGGAAGATTCTTAGAGATGATCCTAGATATGGTTTAGAGGTGCATAAGAGAGTAATAATCGCCACGATGGGACTCCACAACTTTATTAGAGTTTCAAATTTTTCAGATGCAGATTTCTTTGAAGATTCTTCAGAAGTGTATACAGAAAACGAGCAAAATGACTCAAATGAACAAGAGGAGGTCGAGAGACAAGATAGACAATATATGGCAAATATCCGAGAAAGTATTACCGATATATTACGGGAAAATCGAAATAATAGATTTTGATTTATAATTTTAAAAAATATGTTGTAGTGTTTATTATAAAGACATGTTATTAATTATTATTAGAAAATTGTTAAAATTTGTTTTGGTTTTTTGTAAACACTTTTGCATACTATGGTACGCTTTTAACCATTCAAGTGATAAATTTTACTGCATACCAAAGTATGCATGTCTCCATACTAAGTCTAAAACCATTCCTAGATTAGACTAAAAGACCATTTGTTTCATTGTTGGTAACGTTAGGCCCATAGAGCCCAAACACAGCCCATTAAGCTAAATTTAACCCGACTCGTAATCAAAGCACCCGAACCCGGATCCGGTTAACGCAGGATCTCCGATTTATTCTCCCTCCTCGATTTCAGTGACGAGCCTGACCTCCGTCGCACCGTGCTTCGATCTCTTCTTAAACCGCCGGTTCATTTTCTCCGGTACACCGCCTAGTTCTTCTTAACCGGTTAGTTTCTCATTCATTCAATAACTCTTCGTCTTCTCAATCACACGCTTCACGGATTTTGAGCAAAAAAAAGTTTTGAAAAACTCATCGGTATTACCAAATTAAGCTCTTAGCTTCGCATTAATGGCGAGATCCAAATACTATAAATTGTTTCCTTTTTGCGCCATATGTGTTATTTATTTATTACTCTTCCTTTCTCCTAAATTACTGTTACTATTTTAAGCTTCTTCAATTTTTTCTGCCATTGACTAGTTTAATTTGTTGTTTCTTGATTTATATTGTTTTAGTTGTTTCTTCTGTGTAATTTGGTTCATGTTAAAAATGTACTGATTTGAGATCTAAGCTAAGTAATGTTGTATAGTGGACAATTTGGGAAATTCTTCTCACAGTTGGACTCAACATTACTGTTTATAGTTCTTCATTTGTGTGAATCTATTGAATACTAAAAAAGTTTTGTATTCTTGTTTTAGGAGCTATATGCTCTGTTTGATTCTCTGTTTTTTCACTTTCCTCTTAAGCCTATGTTTACCAAAAAGTTATAATCAAAATTCAAGCTTCAAGCTAGTATAATCTCCCACAAAGCTCTCTCTCTTTACCTCTGTACTTCCAGATCTTTCCCCACTTTCTTTCTACAAGAACACTTTCACTCTAATCGTTTTTTACTTGCCCCTAGTACTATCGAAAGCTTGAAAATGGTTAGATCTAGCAAGTTTTCACAGGAAGCGACGACGCTCAAGAGAGGAGAGAGCAGAGAAAACCCTACTGATTTGAGATCTAAGCTAACTAATGTAACTATATTGGGATATCAGATAAAATCACTTGTGTGATTCAGTTTGATACTAAAAAGTTTTATGTATTCTTGTTTTAGGATCTATATATATGTTTTTTTGATTCTCTGTTTTTTTATTATGAAGGATTTTGATCACATTGGTCTGTTAATTGTTCATTTTTTTTTATCTGAATATGGCATGCTTTTTATGCAGATATATACGATTGAAATGCGTGATGTAAGATTTGCTATGAGCATTCGACCAAGGCTGAGGATAGTTGGCGTAGTGATTTTAGCAGCATGGATTGGGTTTGCAGCTTTGTTTGGTTTGCTGAAACCTATAAAGAATGGTTGTACTATGACTTACATGTATCCTACTTACATTCCTATCTCTGTGACGGATGATACAACTCCTGGAAGATATGGACTCTATCTTTACCATGAAGGTTGGAGGAAGATTGACTTTAAGGAGCATCTGAAGAAACTTAGTGGAGTTCCAGTTCTTTTCATTCCAGGCAATGCTGGTAGCTACAAGCAGGTATGGATCCTCCTTTTCTTGGTTCAATTTCCGAGAGCTAGAAATTACCCATTTATAGTAATATTATATGAGTTAGATGGTGCCACTATAAAAGCATTAGATATTTTAAAATGTGTTAAGCCGAAGTTGGAATTCTTTAACTAGCAGTTTTTTCATCTTGTTGTGGAGCCAGTTGTTTTTCTTTAACTCCAAAATGATGTAAAATGTCTTGCTTTTGTTTGGAGCTTATCTCCAGGTTTCATATACCATGCTCCTTATAGGCCCTGTTTTTTTTTTTTTTTTTGTTCATTCAGGTCAGGTCTGTGGCAGCAGAATCTGATAGAGCGTTTCAGGGGGGGCCATTTGAGCGCACATTTTACCAGGAAGCTTCTCTATTCCGTGAGGGAGGTGCAGATACGGAGTTTGTAGACTATGATTTGCCTAGTCAGTACAGTAACAGACTAGATTGGTTTGCTGTGGATCTTGAAGGTGAACATTCTGCAATGGATGGTCGCATACTTGAGGAGCACACTGAATATGTCGTATATGCCATTCATAGGGTGGGGATTTTGATAGTACAGAACCATATTATTTAAATTGTTAATTACTGGGTATAAAGATGCTCTTGTGCGTGAGAACATCTTTTCACTAGTTTCATCAAGCAAAGTTCTCTAAGATAACAGAACATACGGCTTTTAAGTCTTGTTTCCAAGTGAATGTCTCTCTGTTTGATCCCTTATTCTTATCCACTTATTGTCTTCAGATTCTAGATCAATATAAGGAATCTCATGATACCAGAGAAAGAGAAGGTGCCGCTGCGTCCAGCAACTTACCACATAATGTGATATTGGTTGGCCATTCTATGGGTGGTTTTGTTGCCAGAGCTGCTGCAGTCCATCCTCGTTTGCGGAAATCAGCTGTGCAAACCATTATAACACTCTCAAGTCCACACCAGTAAGTTTTCTCCATACTTAACAAGTTTTACTCGCCAAAAGTTGACAAAAGAAAGTTTTACTCGCCAAACAACATGGTTTGGGTTTTTATGTATCTAATTTCATCCAGATCACCTCCTCTGGCATTGCAGCCATCCTTGGGGCATTACTTTGCTCAAGTGAATCGAGAATGGAAAAAAGGTTATGAAGTTCAAACATCCCCTGGGGGAAGTTATGTGTCTGACCCATTACTATCCGGAGTTATTGTTGTATCCATTTCCGGTGGCTACAATGACTATCAGGTCAGAAAATATCTACTAGTATTTTGATTCATTCTATTGCTTGATCAATTCTTTATGCCGTGGTGCTTTCTTTGTTTGCATTTTAGTTCCATTGGATGAGATTTGAACTTTTTCTTAAGGCTTAAGATTTTCCCACTGGCCTCAGGTTCGATCGAAGTTAGAGTCACTTGATGGCATTGTCCCTTCAAGTCACGGCTTTATGATAAGTAGTACAAGCATGAAAAACGTGTGGCTGTCAATGGAACATCAAGCTATCTTGTGGTGTAACCAATTGGTTGTTCAAGTAGGTAAAATTCCCTAATTTGTAATCTGGAAAATGCTATGTTCAATGAATTTGAAAAATTGCATGCCATGCAGGTTTCACATACGCTTCTCAGTTTGGTGGACTCGAAAACTAATCAGCCATTTTCTGATACTGATAAGCGACTTTGGGTTTTAGCCAGAATGCTTCAAAGTGCATTAGCTCAAAGTTTCAATGGAATGACACCCATGGAAGTCTCTCATGAGTTACCCATGTTGGCCTCAAAGGGTAATAATACCATCTCTACCCTGAACATATGTATATCTTGTTTTCTCAGAAAAGAAGTCCTCAAATAAAGGATATAAATTTCCTTGTATTAAAGTTATAAGCTTGTCTGATCGTGGGGGTTATTAACCTTTATCAGTATATGTTCTAAAGTAATCCAAATATAAAAAGCTGGAGGTATCTTTAATCTATCAAACAATTGCAATGGCTAATTTTGAGAACAATTTTATTAGGTGTACATATTACTTGTGGGTATATGGATACTCTTATCATTTTACTGTCTATCTTTCCAGGCTCTACGTGTTCCCTGGATTGGAGAGATGATGCACTCGATAGGGATCTATACATACAAACAAGTACTGTTACGATTTTGGCAATGGACGGGAGAAGGCGCTGGTTGGACATAGATTTATTGGTCAGTGCTGATAATAGTATTCCTTTAGGGATGTCATTTTAGACCTATATATCACTTAAATAGCTATATCGATCTCCCATGACACATTTTCTGTACAATAGGGGTCAAATGGAAAGAACCACTTTATCTTTGTTACAAATCTGGCGCCTTGTTCTGGAGTAAGACTCCATCTATGGCCTGAGAAGGAGAAATCAAATTCAAATTTACCGGTTTGTGAAAGGATCGTGGAAGTTACATCAAAGATGGTTCTCATTCCGGCAGGCCCTGCACCAAAACAGGTGAATATATTCTGTCTGCCAAAGTAATTTAGGGGATCAATTACAACATTACTGGATTTCTTTCCTGTAACACAAACTCAACGTTTATTTCCTGTGTGCGTCTTCACATTTTCAGATGAAATAAGATTAATTAAGCATTTTCACCAACTAGATTTTTCTTTGTGTATATGTTTACTAGTCGGAACCAGGGAGTCAGACTGAACAAGCTCCCCCATCTGCAGTGCTGAAGCTGGGGCCTGAAGACATGCGTGGATTCAGATTCTTGACTATCTCAGTTGCGCCTCGCGAAGTATTTTCTCCCCTTGATACATATTTGCTTTCTTTCAAATTTCAGCAGTTTTTGAATGAACTGAAATGAGACCTTCTCTTGCACAGGCCGTTTCTGGTAAACCTCCTGTAGCAGTTTCCATGGCAGTAGGGCAGTTCTTTAATCCCGGAAACGGGGCCGTGGAGGTCTCATCTCAATCAATGCTCTTATCCACTTACTGGGCAAAGGTTATCATTCTGAAAAGAGGCCAAACTCTTCCTTTGCATCTCTAATGCATTGAACTAAGCTAGTGAAATCATTGGTTAACTGATTTCAGTTTTGGGTTACTTTTCTACAGGAAATATTTTTGAAGGAGGACCATCCTCTAGCTTACAATCTATCGTTTGCTACCAGCTTAGGTCTATTGCCCACAACACTGTCCCTGAAAACTGCTGGATGTGGAATTAAAACTTTTGGTTTACCAGATGGCGAGACAGGAGACTTGGACAAGGATAGTGAGTATTCCAAACCCTCTCCTTAATCCTGGAGATCTTTCTTTTAGTTTTGTCTGTTAATCTTCTAGTCAGCAGCTGCCTAGATTTCCAGTTCGTAAACTTAAAGATTGTCATTCCCCAATCTATGTTATAAATCTGATCATGGTTCAATTTTCAGAGCTCTGCAAATTGCGTTGTTTCCCACCTGTTGCTCTTGCCTGGGATTCTGCTTCTGGACTTCACGTTTTTGCAAATCTCTGCAGTGAGACAATAGTTATTGATTCATCACCAGCTCTTTGGAGTTCTCAGAGTTCTGAGAAAACTACCGTTATGCTACTGGTCAGATTTTGTTTTAGACAAAGCTAGTCTCTGTAATCCTCACTGAAACAAAAAAACTCAAATGTTTCTTCTGTTTCCGTGCCCTTCTACAGGTTGACCCTCATTGCTCATACACAGCAAGTGTTCATGTTTCTGCTCCAGCCATCTCCAGCAGATTTGTCCTTCTATATGGTCCTCAGGTATTTTTATCTTTAACCTCTTGAGTATCAGATGTACGCACTCACATGATACTAATTATGCATGTAGTAGTAGCATGCTACATAAAATTATTACAGTGCATGAGCCTCTGTGTCACTTGCCGCAAGACTTCCTCTCCAAACGTGATAACCTTTTGTTTCTTAGATACGAGGTACATTTTTTTATGAGGGATTGAACATTTCTTCATGTTGCGTCTGATATTGCAGATAGTTGGCATCTCATTTGCCGTCGTAATGTTCGCTCTTATGCGGCAAGCTAATCAATGGGACAACAAACTATCAGTGCCACCATTGCTCTCTGCTGTGGAGTACAATTTAGAAATGCCATCTCCATTTCTGCTTCTAGCTATTTTACCTCTTATAAGTTCATTGTTCTACTCCTTCCTAATGGCTCAACCAATTCCTCCCCTCACAAGCTTCACAGTAGTCTCGTTGATCTGTTATTTGTTGGCCAATGCCTTCATCAGTGTGTTAACTTTTGTCTCCAAATTTGCCTTCCAAGCGTCGGCCCTTGTCCACACCACTGTTAAATCAAGGTAATTGCTTTGCTTTCATCACTTTTTTTTTGGTTCAATGCAAACCTACTCACCTCTGTCCAGAAATAACTGATTATGTGAAAATGTGTTGTAGGTGTCAAGCTTTGGAAAGAAACTATTCTCTTGCTTTCCTTCATTGGTTTTCTATACTTTCTTCCAGCTTCGTCTGTTTAAAGGTTTGCTTTTTCGATTCTGTCCTTTATCTAAAACCATCTAATATTAACCGCATGCTGTCCTTGCTCAACATGAAAAATATAGACTCTTCGTTTAGCTAAGTTTTATCATCAGAATGAGTTAGTGAGATTCTGTTTCTTAAAGCAGGCAATCCGAATTCTGAAGCTCAACACAAAAATTGTTATGACACTAGTCGCAGTTACCTTGGTGTCCTTTGTTCATCCAGCTTTGGGTCTTTTTGTACTCCTCGCCTCTCATGCCCTTTGCTGCCATAACTCCATGTGCTGGTAAGCAAGCTTTCTGTCTTTTCAACTCTTGTCATGTGAGATAGGAAGATGCCTCAAAACTACATCAAACAATAATGCTTTTACCCGTTATAAACCAATATTTGATCCAGAAAAATTCAAACTCAGATAAATAGGAAAATCATTAATCAGAAATCAGGAGGCAATCAAAGCTGATTCGTAGTTTTCATTTTTTTGTTTAATGAAAGTATTGTGACGTCATCGAGGAGAAAGGAATCAGTCGACCAGAAAAATGAAGCCGAGCGTAAAACGCGACATCCCTCGAGCAGAGAGGATCCCGTGTCAGGAGACTTGTCTGAAAAGTCATTTGTTGAGACACAAGCAGACATCTTCAACCACAGGCACGGCTTACTAATATTGCATCTCCTTGCAGCTTTGATGTTCGTACCCTCTCTTGCCGCTTGGTTCCAGGTACTTTTTCCATGTCCATAATCAGGCATTCTTCGTTGCAATTCGATTGACTTCAACTAGTAAAAGTGCTTTATTTTGCGGTTTGCTACTCGAGTTTTATGGCTTTTTAGCTTATGCCAATACGTGACAAAAAGGCTTGATTGATGTTTTAATGGAATATTCTTGTAGCGGATCGGAACAGGACAAAGCTTCCCTTGGTTTGCTGACTCTGCTCTCTGCGTTGGTGTAATCTTCCATGGAATACTGAACTCGAGACCCGAGTCAAGCATCCTACGCTCTTTCCCATTTCTCTCAGGACACCAACTCCGTCCGCATCACATCTATCTTCTCGCCGGCTACTACTGCTTCTTCTCCGGGCTAGAGTTGGCTCCATACAAAGTGTTCTATGCGATAGCTTCTTTAGGCTATATCTCTTTGACTCTTAAGATCTCACAGGTGAACAAGAACGACCTTCGTTTCCGTACTAAAAGCAGAATACACAGAAACTGAGTTTTACAGTCGCATGATAACACATTTCTGTGAGCCGAAAATCGCAACTCAACCCTAAAAGCTCGAATGAATGACCGAGATTTATTTTCCATCGGTCAGGTGGGTTGATTGGGGAATTTAGAAATGAAGTCGGGAGAGTTTTGTTGCCGTTTCAAACTTGTCCAATAACATTAATTAGAATTGGTTTCATTGTGTACTTGTCATGTGTTTTTGTTTTGTATTTCTCTCTATATGTATGTTATTTACTAGGAGCTCCATCGCTCGAACCAGACTACTATGATAAATTTTGTATGATTTGGTTTTGGTAAATTTAATGGAGAGAGATTATCAAAGGGAAAGTTACTAGATTAACTCAAATTATGAGTTTAATTACTAGAATGTCTCAAAAAATTTAGGGGTTAAATGAGTTATTTTCATGACCATAATACCTTTTCTCTCTTTGTTAGGAATAAAAAAAAAGTCAAAAATACCCTTAAATATATTTAAAAAACGTGGTGAAAAAAAATTTGGAAAAAAAAATTATTTGAAAAATCTGCTGGGTTAGTTGTGACAGGTTTATTTACCATGACAGACTTATTTTTCTATGACAGATTTTTTGCGACAGATTTTTTTTCTCCTACAGACTTACTTAAAATAGGTTACGACAGATATTTAATTTGTAGCAGATTTTTTTCTCACGACAGACTTATTTTATGATGACACCACAGACTTTCGTAATTTTGACAGATTTATTAAAATATGTGGCAGATTTATTGTTTTAGTGGCGTCAGACTTATATTTTTCGAGAAAAATCTGTCATAATGTAGAAGATCTGTTATTAAAAATATAATTACTAGTTTGACTTATTAGTGATAACAGATTTATTTTATGTTATGACAGTTTTTTTTTTCTTAACAAAAATCTGGAGTGTGATAGCAGATTTGTTATATAAAAATATAAATTGCTAGAATGACATATATTCACAACCAAAATATTTTATGTTATGACAGATTTTTTTTATATTATGACAGATTTCAGATAGACTATAAAAAAATCTGTCGTATGATGACAGTTTTATTGATGAAAATAAAATTTTAATCTACACAATAAGGTAATGACAGACATATTCTTATCGCGACAGACTTATTTATAATAAGATGGTTCATGTGTGGCTGTCTCCTTGTTAATATATGATAAAGATAATTTTTTCTTCGTTTTTATATATTTTTTCTTTTTAATTTTTTTTTGTATTTTTTTGTTTTATTTTTTTGTTATGTATTTTTTTTTCATTTTAATTTTTTTTGTCGTTTTGTAATTTTTTTTTCTAATTTTTTTATTTAAATTAGTTATTATATGTTAATTATTTTATTTTAATTGAATTGAAAATAAAATGGGTAGTTGTTTTCTTTTTGTTTTTTATTTTTTATTTTTTTTATTTTTTTCAATTTATATATATTTTTCATTTGTATTTTTTGTTTTGTTTTTCAATTTTCGTTTTTTGGTTTTATATCTTTTTGTTTTTTATTTTTTATTTTATTTTTTTCAATTTATATATATTTTTCATTTGTATTTTTTGTTTTTTTTTTCAATTTTCGTTTTTTGGTTTTATAATTTTTTTTTGTATTTTTTAATTTTCTATTTAATTTAATTATTTTATTTTAATAGAACTGAAAATAAAATGGGTATTTGGTCTTTTAACACAAAATTTGTGTTATTCTAGTAAACCACAATATTTGAGTGTTAATCTAGTTATTTTTCTCTAAATTTGAGTCAAACTAGGTAATTTTCAGATTATCAAATTGACAACAAATGAGTTAACGCACCGAAATAATAGTTACGGCCAAACTTGGCGGCATTCTCTCACAGACTACAAAAAACACCTTAGAATTCTATCTCCGACTTTCGTAAAACATCATATGAGTGCTTTAAAAGCCTCATATATCACTGAGCACATGTTCGCAAACTTCTTATTCAGACTCAAAATCAAAATCTCGAAGGTGTTGATAGTGTAAACAAAAGAAATTTGTAGCTGTTGAGTGTAGGTTCGCAGATTTTAGTAGTGAATTATTTGAAATTTTTATAGAAATCCATACGAATTTAGAGTTTCGAAATGGTGATGCATGTTTAGTTCTTATATTCATCCGTGTTTATTTGATCACGTCACATTTTATCCTACTTTGGAATTCTATCTCCTGACTAGCTCTCGTAAACTAAACACCATATGATCGCTTGAAAAGACTAGTAGTATATATATATACTAGATTTTAATCCGCGCTACGCGAGATGATTTATTTTTAAAATTTAGTATATATAAAATTTTGCAAATTGTATCTCCTTATATTTTATAGCTTACAATTGTTATTAAGTAACGGTATACCACGAGTTTACGAGACAATTGCTAATAAACTAAAGATTTAACCCGAATTAAAACGGCATGTTATTTTGAAACTTTTTAAAAATTGATTCAAACCCGTCCACCATATTAACCCTTTCCAAAATATAACCCGTCCCGTAATTTCATAACCCGTCCCGTGATTTGTTTTCTAAAAGTAGTGATTTTAAAATTTAATGATTATTTATTATATATAAAAGTTTACAAATTGTATAATTTTCTAAAACATTTATATTTTAATAAACTGAAGATTTAATCTGTATTAAAGCGGCATGTTAATGATATTTTCAAATTTTATAAATATTGATTCAAACTCGTCTATCATATAACCCCGTTCCGAAATATAATTTGTCCTGTAATTTCTTAACCCGTCCTGTAATTTGTTTTCTAAAAGGAGTAATTTTACAAATTTAACGATTATTTATTATATATATAAGTTTACAAATTTTATCATTTTCTATTTATATTTTATAATTTACAATTGTTATTAAGTAATATTATACCACGTGACAATTCTTGGTTTTAAAAAAATCAGTGGTATTTAAAAAAATTAAGGATTTAATCTGTATTAAAATGGTGGATTAATGATATTTTAATTTTTTTTATTATTGATTCAAAAACTTGTCCCACCAAACCCGTCCCGCCAAAAAACTCATATTTTATTAATGTTGAACTTATTTATGATATGATTCTGAATCATTGTCTAAATATTTAAGTCGATGTGGAACGTTGAACACACATTTTTCGTCAATTGGATAATATATGTCCGTTTCAAAAATTTCAAATCACAATATATGCAGAAAAAAAATTGATTTTTATTTTATTTTATGTATTATATGATGATTCAAAACAGTTAAAAACAAATCACATTAAAATGATAGGAGAATCATAAATATAAATCTCAATCAAATCTTCTGAATATCTAAATTATTAAATATATAATATCCGGTGGATGAGTTGGGTTAAATATAACCCGACCCAACAAACTTTTTATGACCAAAATTTGTAAACGGGTCGGGTATCCAAATAACCCGACATCATTTTTACATATTCGTCACTAAAATAACTGCAAAAATAATAGTATATATATATATCACTAAGGACACATTTGCAAACTTTTTATTCCAAGTCAATAATAAATCAACCTAAAAAATATGTAAGATGACCAATGACATCACACAAGTGAGAGCAAAATTAGATGAAGAACTGAAAAAATAACCCATATTCAATCGATATTTAATATAGAAAATCATAGATCCTTTGAACCCCAAAAACCTTATTTAGTACATATTTAATACATATACTAAGAAAACCTGTAACAGTTTCTACAAACACGTGAAATTTTATAAAAATATGTTATATGGTGTTAAACAAAAAAACTTGATCAAAGACTTATCATGGTAACACAATTATAAACGTAATATGATCATATATAATGTTTACAATTTTATTAATTTATATATTAAATTACACTGTAAATATGTTTTTTTCATAACGATCAGATCTTGGGCATAATTGCAATAACAAGATCTACTATCAAACTGTTATAAGAATGATAGTCTTACTGTAATCACAAGAATGGAACTTAGAACCCATAACTTAGTTTTTCTTGATGTATTTTCAGTCCTCTATGTGCCAATAGTGTGTTGTAAGTAACCTACATAGATAGAACCATCAACTTTTAATAAGTGATCATTGAATCAAAAATTACTATAAGAAGTATTTCAAATATAGCATATATTAATTTTGAGTAATACACCTTTACTCAAGTCCGATACACCATTTCTCAAGTCCGAGAATCTCTGAGGATGAACAATATATCTTTCCATATTTTCTGAATATTATTTTGTATTGACAACGTCTTTGGCAGTGATTGCAGATGGGGCGAATGAGACGATTGTTAGGAATAATATCAATCCTTAATCCATAGAAGGTGGTGGTTATTTGTCCCGGCTTCATATAGGGATCATTACCTAGTATACATTGAATATGAATTGTGGTTCCGCATTCACTACACGTGTAATATCCTTTCTTTGGATCCATCTTTTCCTCACAAACTTCACACCAATGGGGGTACATTGCAACATTTTCATACGATAGGGTAAGAAAATGTTCATCACCCTCATGCTTAACCTTGTATGGTAGAGTGGCACAACAAAAACACAAAGCAAAGAAACATTTAACACAATTCAAAAGTAGATAGGATACTTCACCACATATCAAACAAGGTTCTTCAGTTGTTCTCGTATAGAGTAGGAACAAAGGATGTGGATGAGATTGATGATGGACTGGTTCATATAGAGAAGCACACCTTACGTCCAAACTCGTGTTGCACCCTTCACAACAGTTATATCTGAAACCACATGAGTAACGATGACAAGATTCACAAAAGAAACCCTCGTTAAAATAACCCGGTCGTAGAATAAATTGGTGGGCATGCACCATATTTTGTATTCTGCGGGGAAGATTTGCACATTCTTCATGGAGATTAAAATCACATTGCATACATCTATAGCTATTACCATCATAGAGAGGAAGTAAGCATGCCTCACACTGCTTCTTTTCATAATAGATCTTGCCGAAATCTTCATTAAATCTCATGTTATGATGCGGATGACAAAAATGGTTTATAATCCCATCACCTATCTCTTCATACGACTTAATATTATCGTATACTTCTTCTGGTTGGTCTTCCAATTCTTTCCCATCCCATACATCATCTTGCATCGCACATTTACAATGTACCGCATAAGCACAACCCTTTGAGCAAGAGTATTCCCAATAGTTTCGATCAATCTTCTGACGACAAACTCCGCATGACCATTTTTCAGAAGAAAGTGAAGAATTTAAAAAGAGACGATGGTTGTGACGAGATATTTGTATGACATTTGGTAAGTTGACACACGTTCTATGGACAACAAAACTGCATTGGTGACAAATGTAGAAACAAATTTTGTTATCATCTGATCCGCAAATATCGCAATTGAGCGAGACTTTTCTAGGGAAATAGTGGAGGGTATGCTCATGTCTCTTTCGATTATTTATAACAGAAAATTCCCTTCTTTGTGCGCAAATAGGATCCAAAATAAGATCATAAATGTAAGAATAGTAAATTAAACGTCCAAGTCGTATGCCACAAGAATGGCATTTCTTTGTTTTAGGAACTCTCGCTGTAATAGACGTACTAACCATTTGGAGAAGTTGGAGAGGATATTTTGGGTAATAAGGGGATATGAAAATAGCAGGGGACTCGACACACTCTTTATGGAAACGATAGTAACAACCATTACAACGATAATAGATTGTACCGATTGTACATGTATTGGTGACAAGCATCGCACCTGAAGTCATTTTGTTTGGATTCTTCATTGTTGCACCGGAGGAGAAGCTGAAGATGGTGATGTAAAGACTTTTCGTCTTCTCTTGCATCAGAGAGGTAACAAGAACTGTCGATTATGAAATAAGATTCATCACCAAGTTCTGTTTTGCGGAATCGACCTTCTAGGTTTCGGGTTCGTACATTATAGCATAGGGGCTGAGAAGGGGGAGGAGGATAGTCGATTGAATCCATGGTTGTTACTTCAAAGAGGTTTTGTTGTTTTGAAAACTTTAGAGTTTATGGTTTAGTTTTTCTCACAATAGGCTTTTTAACCTATTAAGTTATATAGACGACAACCATTTGATATAGTTTTCTGTGTAACGTTATTTTATTTTATTTATGTAGCCAAAATCTGTACGCAAAGTATTAATAATATGCTTATTTCTCTTCTACAGTTTATACTTAACTTTTCTTGATAGAAAGAGAAGTGTCGTTCAGGAAACATCATATTCCAGACATTTTCTTAAATATTACACTCTCCCTCTCTCACGGTTTAGAATCTCTTTTAGGTTCAATCTAGGAAGCACGGAATCTTCGTCGGAAGCCCGCTTCCCGCTTCGGAATCTTAGTCGGAATCGGAAGCTTTTGGAAGCTTTCGGAATCTCGCTTCCATCGCGTTTCCAAAAATTCAACTTTGGAAGCTCGTTGGAAGCTTACGATTCCGGTTTGGAAGCTTGCGCTTCCATTTTATAAATTCAATTTTACAAATAAAACATGAAATTATTATTTTTAATCAAACAAACTCAAACTAAAAATTTTGCATACTAATCTTTGTATTTTATTTTTAACAAAATCATGTTTAGAAAATAGCAATGACATGAATCTAATATGTGAGAGATATTATAAATGATTAATTAATTTAGATTAATTTCGAGAGACTTGAGTTTGATCATATTTTTACCTATAATATACATAATTTGAAACGATTTTGTTTGATGTTATTTAAAAAAAGAATGAATATAGTGTTATAATTTTTTTCTTGAATTATTTGATTTTGTTTGTTGTAAAAATTGGTTTAATTTTTAAATTTAGTTTTTAAAATTTATTTATTAGATTTATGGGGTTAATATAACTTGTAATATGATATAATGTTTAATATATAGTTATATATATATATATATATATATATATATATATATTTTATATATACTATACGCTTCCATCGCGTACCGCTTCCGTAAAATTTTCTAAAAAATCGCTTCAGCGCTTCTAAACGATTCCGTTTCCGCGTACCCGCTCCCGTTTCCATGCAACATAGGGTTCAATCACTTCAACTATTGGATGTCGTCGACGCACCAAGAAAATATTATGCACAATTTCCTTGTTTCTATGAGCCAAAAGTTTAACGTGTGATATTTGCGAATATATATTTCAAGCTTACTTTGAGTGCATCCCCCAGTACCAAGAAATACATAATTAATAAACTTATTATTATTATTAATAGGACTCAAGACCCCTGCGATGTCGCGGGAAAATATATTTCAAAATCGTTTAAAAAATATCAAACGAAAAATCATAATGAATTGTAATAATTCTGATTTTTTTTAAATATCAAATCAATATATATTTTACAAAAATTATGATAAAGAAAACCCTCACAAGCATTTATTAATTATATGAATATTAGAAAAACATTAATTTGTAACTAAAAAACTATTCCCAAATGCAAAAAGCATCAAATAATAACCAAAGGTTACAACGGTTTGATAAATAAACAAAAATATTCAACGTCAAATAAACCAAATGCTACTATGTTAAATTAAACGGTGACAATAATTTATTTAAATATATTTTAGTAATTAAATATTTTTTACAAAATATGACAAACTTTAACCGAGAGACGTGATCGTAGATATCAAATATACCAAAAGCTACAACGGTTCGTCAAATATATCAAATATTGCAATGGTTCATCAAATATACTAAAGATTACAATGGTTTGTAAAACAAAACCAAAAGTTGCAATGATTCGTCAAATAATCCAAATATTGCAACAGTTCAATTAAATAGTTACAATCTCATTTAAATACATTTTAATAATTAAAAATTAAGAACTAAAAATAATAATTTATGAAAGGTTACACCGACGGTAGCTGATTAAATGTTATGAAGATTTATAAAATAAACTTAAAGTTGTAATTATTCATGAAATAAACTAAATATTGCAATGGTTCTACTAAATAAGGATAGGGTTTGCCTATTATCATCGTAGAACAAATAATCGTTGTATCAGGACAAAAAATTAGAGTTTCGAAAAGAAAGACAATATATAGAATTGAGGCACGATTTTACAACTATTCGATAAGTCCATTACGTAGACGAACGTGTCCGTTATAGCTTTAATGTGTAGAGCTCATTTCACTCACGTATGTCCAAAATTATTTAAACCTCTATATTATTATTTTCCCATGATATCACGTAAATGTTAAATGAATGGTATAATTAAGGAGGTTATACTACTAAATATATCCATATGTAAACAATGAAAGAAAACCAATTTTATATGTATTTTATTTTATATATAGTTTATTGGTTTACGTAAAAAGAAATTCAATAAAACAACATGACCGTACAAAAATAACTGTAAGAAAAACAACCATAAATATTTAAACGAAATGTTGCAATAAAAAGATGCAACCGTTCAGATGTGCAAATGATATTTATTGGAAACGACATAACCGTAAAAAAATAACCGATTAAAACGAAAATTGCGATAAAAAGACGCAACCAAAATAACCGATTTAAACGAAAGGTTGCGATAAAAGGACGCAACCGTTCAGATGTGCAAATGGTATTTGTTAGATTGCTATTATATATATATATATATATATATAGATTATTATTTTTCAAAAAGGATTATTTGAAAATTATTAAAATGAAGAGGTTTTTAGATAAGATATTTTGTTCAAAAAGGATTATTTGAATATTATTTGAAGAGCGTTTCAGAAAATATTTTTTTGAATAGATGTTTCAAAAAAAAAAAAAAAAGATATTTTGAAGAAGTGATGAGTTAATGTGTTGTCCTTTGACCAAGAAAAGAAAGATAATTGTTGTCCATACACGTTGTGAAATCTGACCCTAACACTGAAAAGGAAACAAAATAAAAAGGTAATTAGGGTTTACGTACGCTCCTTTTCTTGTGTGGTATATATACATAACGAAGCGAATTAAGTCTTAGCACCTTTTCGATAGCCATGGTGAGAGCCAAGGACGCCGCTGGAGAAGCACCACACAACCACGGAAAGAGACGTCGAGTAGTGTCAGATCCATAATGGTCTCGATTCTATCGTAACGTTTCGGACAACGTTGAAAGAGCCCCTTAGAGATTCTAGTTATCATGGTTCGGTTTCAATCATTGCTTATGGTGGCCGTGATACGAATCAGATCCATTCAGGATGACTTAATTTCCCCGCAGGTTAATTCGTTAAACACTCTATTTCTCATTTATCTTATGTCTTTTTCACATTCTTGTTTATTATGTTCAAATATTCCGTTACATGTCACGCCACGATTTCAATCTTTAAGGCTGGATCTATTCCTCTTTATATATAGCCACATGTTTGATTCAAAATTTTGAGAGTTGTTGTGGTATATGGATGATTTTCCTTGCCAGTAAATTTATGTATAAGCTTGTATTCAATTTGTTTTGATTTCTCAAATTTACTCTTGACTGCCACATTGGGTCGTTAAGGTTTTTGTTTTGGATAATTCATTGAGTCAATAAGTTACACTAATGTAGATATGTCAATATGACCCAAGGTTGGCGAGACTCTTTCCGGCGGGCGGGTGTTGGGTGATAAGTTTCACTACACAAAAAAGCGGATCTTGCATGGTACGGTTATGGCAAATGCGGGGTTATGCGGGTAAGTCCCACATACTTATATTAGTAACAAATTTTATGACTTCTTAAAGACTAATGTTAAGTTCAGGCGGATTATCCTTAATCCGCAGGCTTCGAATACTCATCAAATCAGTTGGCTTAAGTAAAATTAATCAAACAAATCTTCATTTGATGAGTTCTTACATTTTTTAATATAATCTTGAATGCATCTTTTAGTTATTTTTTGTAATTGAATTCTAATTAGATGTTAGAGGAAATCATTGATATTGCAAAAAGAAAGAAGAAATATTCAATGCACTGCATATGTCTCGTCTTCTCTTCGCTCAAAAAACTTTTATAGGGGAAACAAAAATACATGAAACTATAAAAAAAACCAGTGTTTTTAAACCCGACCCGGACGGTGAACCGGACTACTTTCTGGGTCACCGGGTCACTGGGTCAACCGGGTTCGACCACGGGTCAATTGATTAAAATTTAATTAATATATTTAATATTCATAGAGAATATATAGTGTTTATAAATATAAAACTAAAAATATTCATACTATATTTACAAAATATGAAGTCTAACAATAATAATAAAGTAATTCAAATTAAAATTTTAAATCCAACTAAAAGTCTAAAATCGTAACAAATATTAAAGTAGTAGGAGATCGCTAATAACAGAAATAAACTAATAAAACATCGCGAATTCAAAACAACTAATATCGGTTATTTTTCTCACCATTTCATTCATTCTCCTTAGACGGTACTGTCATGTTTCATTAAAATCTAAAACATCAAATGAGTCTAAGAACTACAAAGAGTTCTAAAAATAATTGAATAGAGTCTAAAACTCTAAATTTTATTCCAAAATCAAATGATATTTTTAAAACCCATACCCAGCCGGTTCACTGGGTCGCGGGTTAATGGCGGGTTTTTCCGGTTTTGAAATTGGCGGGTATTAGCACTAAACCCAAACCGGAAAAGTATCCGGGTCGTGGGTTAACCGATCGGACCGGGCGGTCCGGGTCGGGCGTGAAAACACTGAAAAAAACATAGAGAAAACTGTGAGAAGATTTTAGAAACTTAATTGTGTGGTCCTCTTACTGGTCTTCCATTGGAGATGCATAAAGAAATCGTTAACAGACTTTGCTCTCCACAAATAGTGAAGGATCATTGATCTTCTACTTTAAACTTGCTTAATGATCTTGCACTTCCTTTTAAGATGCAAGGTAAGATGAAACCTTCATCAATTATGTGGTTGATATTGAATTAAGTAACAACAAAAACAAGAAAAATAATTTAGTGTCATATAAGGCATTCCAAGATCATAAAGTAGTTCAAAGCAGGATAGCAATGATCCTTCACTCTTATGCAGAGAAACGTCTGGTACCGATTTGCATACGCGTCTCTGATGGGAATTCAATAAAAAGGTCATACAGTTTAATTTCTAAAACCTTCATAGTTTTCTCCACGGTTTCAGATAGTTTTCGAAACTTATTTGAGTCTTTATAAGTGTTTTAGCCTAGAGAAAACGACAAATTTTTTTTGCTACTCTCCTGTCCTCCTTTGCGGTCATCAAGCATGTTTTCCAACATCTAAGGAAACAAAAGACAGAAACTAAAGATCCATCTAAGATTGTGTTAAAATGTAGAAACTGAATTGAAGA